CAGATTTGAACTCAGGTCCTCCTGACTCCAGGGCCAGTGCTCTATCTACTGCACCACCTAGCTGCCCCTGGGTTTTCTCTCCCATCTAATTCCTGAAGTAAACGCAGTCCTTTTTTAATTTCTTAAAAGTTAACTTTTTTTTTAATTGCCAGCACAACGGAATGCTGATAAGAAGTAAAATAAGTCTTGGATAAAATTAACAAAATTTCAAAGTCACAAAAAAGTTATTATTGGTCTTCATAAGGATATATCTGTAGTTAGACCTACTCTCTTTTAGCTCTACTCTTGACTTTTTCTCTCAAATTGTCTTCAAACATCTTGAGAGTAATTTCCACCAAATCGTCTATTGAGAGAGACACCCAGACCACCCAAAGTGGAAGAGGAGCCTTTTCATGGATTAATTATGATTGACGTGTTTAGTTACAGTAAGCAGGCAGATGGAAAACAGTGCCCAGAATTCCCCCCTTGGTTTTCGGCTTCATCTTTAAGGATGGTCAAGGGTCTTAAGATCCTGCCATAGGAGGCTCAGTTGACAAAACTTAGGGTGTTTAGCCTGAAGAATAGAAGATATATATGTGTGGGTGGGTGGTTGGGAAGGGGAGGATGATGATGATGACATAGGATAAACTATTCAAGTATTTAAAATGCTGTCATTTGGAAGAAGAATTAGATTTTTCTGCTTGTCTCCATCAGACGGAACTAAAAAAAGTGGTACCAGACAGGAGTAGGGAGAAAACCCAGATGGGAAAATGAATGGTGACCAGAAATTTGCAGAAAAGCAAATTCACGTATCTGAGCAGACAGTACTGGAAATATTGTCTGAGTGGCCATTTTTCTAGGTACACCTCGGAGGTCATTGCTTCCCATTAGCTAGACTTGTGTGCAAGGGATCTGATGGACTCTGACTGATGAATTCCAAAGATGACCTTTTAGCTTATAGCAAAGCTGGAGGAGGGGAGATTCTGAACAGTATGTCCTTTGTCCAAGAATGGCTCATGTTCTAGAACAACCACAATCAGCTAATGAGGGAAGTCATGGCCAAGGGAAGGGCCATACTCAAGCCAGTTTTGGTATGAAAAGTTAGCACAGTCAGGGAGGCAGGTCGAGTGAATCGTAGAAACTGGAAGGTAGCAGCTGCCACTAGTAATCCTGATGAACAGCTTCTCTTCCACTCTGCTGTATTTGGAGGGAGGGTAGAGCCACATGCTCTGTAAAGTATTGGACATTTAACCCAGTACAAGAGTCCAAGGAACAAAGACTCTCCAGGTCAAATTTTCTGTAATCTGGCTCCACTCAGCTATCCACCCTCATCTTCTGTTTTATATTATGTTATATTTATATCATATTACATTCTAGATGCAATTGACATTCTAGACAGAATGGTCTCCCCATTTTTCCCCTAACACATTTCCATGCTTTAGACTCTGACTGGAATGCCCTTTTCCCTCCCTATCCCAGATTCTCCCCACTTGTTAAAAGTTCTCCTCATCCTTCAAGGGCCTGCTTAAGTCCTGCCCTCCTTGGGAAGGCCTCCTTGACTCTCCAGCCTTCGCTGATCTCTTAATTCCCTGAATTCCAACAGCACTGGCACTCGTATCTGGTCAGGCCCAAACCAAACTGGATTGTGCTTCACATCCCATTCCAGCCATCCATGCCATCTGCCTGCCTGGACCAGCACCCGTGCACCAGACCACCAGAATCCATGTCCTCGTTCCTGGGGAAGTTAATCTACTCTAGCCTAGTCTACTGTAACTAATTGGCCTCGGCCCATACCATCTTTATCCATCCACTCATCTGGGTCATCTTGTCATCAGCTCCTCCATCACCCATGTAACTCCTCTCCAATCCCGCTGCTCTGGCCACAAGAATGAAATCAAAGGCACTATTCTTTTTGGAAAGGCTTTTGATAATTGATAGCCCTCTGGATCAATTCACTATCCCTGTAACTTCCCAGATGACAACTCTCTTCACTGGCCACCATTTTCCTGCATTTATTGTCTTTCTCATTCAAACGTAAGTTTCTCAAGGGCAGGGAATATATTGCTTTTTGTAGAGATAGCCCCAGAACTTAACACAATGCCTGGCACATAACTGTTTCATAAATTATTTTTCATTCATTCATTGGAGGTAGCTAGGTGTCAGAGTGGATAGCATCTACTATACAAGAGGATTAAAAGAGGTAATGTTTGTAAAAATCTTAACACAGTGCCTGCCACACAGGAGGTGCTTAATAAATGTTTCCTTCCTTCCTTCCTTCCTTCCTTCCTTCCTTCCTTCCTTCCTTCTTCCTTCCTTCTTCCTCCTCCCTTCCTTCCTCCCTCCCTCCCTCCCTTCCTTCTCCTCCCTCCCTCCCTCCTTCTTTCCTTCCTTCCTTCCTTCCTTCCTTCCTTCCTTCCTTCCTTCCTTCCTTCCTTCCTTCTTCCTCCCTCCCTCCCTCCTCCCTCCCTCCCTCCCTCCCTCCCTCCCTCCCTCCTCCCTCCCTCCTCCTCCTTCTTTCCTTCCTTCCTTCCTTCCTTCCTTCCTTTCCTTCCTTCCTTCCTTCCTTCCTTCCTTCCTTCCTTCCTTCCTTCCTTCCTTCCTTCCTTCCTTCTTTCCTTCCTTCCTTCCTTCTTTCTTTCCTTCCTTTCTTTCCTTCCTTCTTTCCTTCCTTCCTTCCTTCTGTGCCGATCTCATCAGAGTGTGGGTTCTGGGCTCACTTCACTGGTCACGATGGTCACAATGACCAGCTATGGTTGAGGTTTGATGTCCAAACTGTTCCTGGATTCCTCAGATAAGGGAAGGGTGTGACTACATAGTAAACACACACCCTGTCTTTGGGGACCTGTGCTGGGAATTGCCCAGCTGCCCCAGCCAAGACTGACTATGATGAGTCTGTGTGCTGAATAGAGTGATGGACTGGGAAGACCTGAGTTCAAATTCTGCTTCTGAGATTCATTGAATAGATGACAGTAGCCAAGTCAATTAACCTTTTTGTCCCTCAGTTTCTTCATCTGTAAAGCAGAGGTGATAGTACCTGTAATTGTTATGAATTCCAAGGGGGGTTATTCATTGAATAGATGACAGTAGCCAAGTCAATTAACCTTTTTGTCCCTCAGTTTCTTCATCTGTAAAGCAGAGGTGATAGTACCTGTAATTGTTATGAATTCCAAGGGGGGTAATTATAAACTGCAAGGTAAATGTTAAGCAGTTAGCTGGCTAGGGTGTAAAGTGAAGCATGGTTAGAGCATCTGTTACAAAAAGAGATATACATTTTTAGACATTGACAATGTGAAAATTTATTTTGCTGGACTATATATGTTTATAATGAGGGTTTGATTTTTGATTTTTAAAAAAATTTTGCTCAATTGGGGAACAAAATGAAGCAGAGCTTATAAATGTTCATAAAGTTAATTTATAATTTTTTTTATTAGTCTCCCTATTTGTTTATAGCTGAGGAAACAGATGTGTTAGATCTTCCTGTTGAAAACTTAAAATCTAGCACCTGTCCAAGCTGCCTTTTTTAATAAATTCATCTTTTAAAAGCTATAAGGAGGTACTTCTAGATTTAGTGAGACATTTACCAATGGGGAAGGGCATGTCAGGAATGTAAAGGGTTAAAATACTCCAGAGCATAGTATTTGGCTTAGGCTAAAAGATAACTAGCCAGAAGACTGTGGGGAGTATAAAAAATTACAAGAGATAATTAAAACAAATTCATTTGATTGGGTCTTCTAATTTTTGATGTCCTGTGGCAAAGTCCCAGTCACTTTGCCCTAGTTATGACTCTGAGGAGAGCCGACATTGGAATAGCACTTTAATGATTACAAAATATTTTATATACATTATCTAACTGGAGGCAAAAAACAACCTTCTGAGGCAAGAACCTCATCTACTCACACTCCCATCTTACAGATGAGGAAACTGAGATTAGGGGACAGAGGTGTAAAGGGACTTGCCCAAGCCTGCACAGTGATCGTTGAACAAAGCTGAGATCTGTACCCAGATATTCCCGTGAGTGTGTGTGTGTCTGTGAAGACATGTTCCTGCTCATGCATCTCACTACTCCTCTTTCCTCTTCTCTGTAGTTATGAGTTCTAAGGAGGGTGGTTCCAAGCTGCAAGGTGGCTGCTGAGCAGCTAGCTGGCAGGGGAGTAAAGTGAAATAGGGGATGTAATCAGGAGCTCTGACAGTGTTATTGCCTGGGTGGTAGTGATGACACACTAGACTAAAGCTAACCCAATGAAAACCAATAGAATTTGCAGACTGCTTTAAATTTTGCAAAGGGCTTTACATGTGTTATTTCATTTGATTCTTGTAAAAGCTTTGTGAAGTAGGTTCTATTATTTTATCGATTCTGTTGTTATTATAAATGGTTGGATCTATTATCACTCATTAATTATTTATTTATTAATCTATTATTTATTTACTTATTTAAGTACTTATTATTATGATTCCCATTTTACAGATAAGGAAACCGAAGCTGAGATAGGTTAAGTGACGGTCACATCGCTTGTGAGTATCTGAGGCAGAATTTGAACTCAGGTCTTCCTGACTCCAAGTTCAGCTTTCTGTCCTTGAAAGGGTGGAAAAGGGTGCCTGGGTCAAAGAAAATTGGAAGAACCACATACCCAGTCGACTTTAAAGGGAATGGCAACTTCTACTTTGTCGCTGCTTCTTCCTTTCTCCAGATCTTGGGATGTGGAAGCCTGGACACTGGCCCAGGAGAGAAGTGGGAGTTCCCCTCTGGTTGGAGTTTACTGAGCGGGCTGGTCTTCCCAGCTGAGTGGCCAGTCCTTTTTGACAGAGGCCATCCCTGGTGCTGTCACAGGGCCCAGGGACCAATAAGGGCATTGCTTCATCATTATCAAAGACAAGTCTTTGAGCCCAGAGCTGAAGTGGCTTTGATTACCAAAATGGCCAGGCTGACTTGGCCCATGCCGTTAGAATGGAGAACTGGCCCCTGAGAATAGGAAGAAGCCAAAACCATTGGTGTTGGTGAAAGGAGACACACAGGCCAGGAAGAAGGTGGATCATGAGTTGACCATTTATTTGGATCATTGAAAGAGTTGGTATGGACACAGTAGGTGGGGTGACTTGAAGCAAGATGGCTGGCGAAGGCCCCAGGGCAGGGTCCAGAGGTCTGTTACTTGGCTTTGTGATGTCTTAGGCTGCTCTCCTGCCATTGATGAGGCTCCTGGGGGCACTGGTTCAGGGTAACCCAGTAGATGGTCTTCTGGGCCATCCATAGGAGGGTGCCCAGGAGTATGATGTTCAGGATTGTTAGTACTATCAGAGCCAGGTCCCCCCAGAAGAAGACATGGTACTGGTCTGGGTAAAGCTGCCTTCTGCAGCCCTCCAGCTCATTGCCGGTGAGCTGGTCGAGGGACAGGGAGGCTGTGACGGCTGGACTGGCACACCTGGTCAGGTGCAGGGTTTCCTGGGCATGGTCCTCCAGCCAGAGCTTTAGGTACAAGATTCCGCAGTCGCAGTGCCAGGGGTTATTGGTCACATCGATTCTGTAGACGTAGCTCAGGTGGTCAAAGGTGCCAGCAGGGATGGAACTCAGGTTGTTGTTCTGCAGGTAGAGCTGCCGGGTGGTGTTGGGCAGGGCGGGCACCGTGGTCAGCCCCCTGTTGCTACAGTCCACCACCAGTCCAAAGGCTTCCAGGGTCTGGCAGTCACAGGGTAGGGGGCAGGCCAGGCTAGCAGGCAAGCCCCACAGCAATAACAACATCCACTTGATGGCTATGGGCATAGGCATCTGGCTGGCTGTGGAGGAAGAACACAACAGTTGAGTGTGAGACATACTGGGTGGGCAAAGAAAATGACTGTGGGAAAAGGGACAGAATGAAAGGATTTGGATTTCTTCAGAGGCAGCCTCCCAATTGGATTCCACATGGAACAGTTGGCTTATTCTTCTTTAGAAGGGAGGCAGGTGAGGTGTTATGAGAAATGTACTCACTGGAGTTTTCTTGTCCACTAGCCTAGAATCATAGAACCACAGAATGTTAGAGCTAGAAGGGGCCTGAGAGACCAGATCTAGCCTAGGATTTTTTCTTTTTAGGCAGAGTTAAGTGACTTGCTCAGGGTCACATAGCTAGTACGTGTCTGAGCCCAGATTTGAACTCAGGTCCTCCTAATTTCAGGGCCTGTGCTCTATCCACTGTACTACCTACCTGTCCCTAGCCCAGGGCTTCTTAACTTGAAGTCTGTAAATTTGTTTTTCCCTTCCACTTAATAGTATTTATTTTTTCCCCAATTACATGCAAATATAGTTTTCATCATTCACTTTTATAAGATTTTGAGTTCCAAATTTTTTTCTCCCTCCCTCCCCTCCCCCCTCCCCAAGATGGCATGCAATCTTGCTTTTTAAAGTATTCGGATAGCTCTATTTGAATATAGTTGATTTCTTTTGTAACCCTATGTATTTTATTTCATGCTTTTAAAAACATTACTCTCAGAAGGTGGTATATGGACTTCACCAGACTGCCAAAGGTGATTCATTCAGTGGCGTGCCGGTAAACGTTTAACAATCAGCTCTCCAGGAGGAGGGAGAAAAATGTGTGATGATACCCTTTTAAGTTTAATATTGATTATTAACATTTTCCCATCATTTTAAACAGTCTAGAAATCAAAACAATAAACCAAGTTCTCATCTGTAGCATCTGCCTGTCTCCAAGGTGTCAATATTCACACTGAAAATTTAACGATTAGATTTCTGAGCTGACTCAGGCTGGCTCCAGCACACCTGGGGGTCTGTGGGTAAGAATCTTAATCTAGGCCGATCCCCTCACGACACAGAGGAGGAAGAGGAGGGAAGGGAGAGTGTTTATCTGAATTCATACGGCCAGTCACAGGCAAAGCTGGGCTAAGAATCCAAGACTTCTGATGACTGGACCTACACTAGAGAGAGAGGGGGGTGGGGAGGGGGCGGAGAGGGAGGGGGAGAAAGAGAGAGGGAGGGGGGGAAGGGGGAGAGAGACAGAGAGGCAGAGAGAGAGACAGAGAGGCAGAGAGAGACAGAGAGAGAGAGACAGAGAGAGAGGGGGAGAGAGAGAGAGAGAGAGAGAGAGAGAGAGAGAGAGAGAGAGAGAGAGAGACAGACAGACAGACAGACAGACAGACAGACAGACAGGCAGGCAGACAAACAGAGAGAGAGAGTCAAATGCAGGAAACTCCTTAATTCAGGTTGACCCTTCCTCTGCAACTTGTAGTTATAAAGAATCACCTAGAACGCTAAGAAGCGAAAGACTGGCCTAGAGTCTCGTGACCATTGGATGGCAGAGAAGGGATTTCAAGCCAGGTCCTCCTGGTTTCAAGGCTGGCTCCATCCATGACACCTCACTGCCTCTCATTGACTTTGTATATATTTTTTATGTTCTTATGTAATGGGATATTGGCCAAGGAGGGACATGTGTGGCATGCTCTCACTGATGGATGTTTAGTGAGCCTGATTCTGGGAGTTTCCGATGGGGCAGATTAGAGGGGCCTGGCTCCCACATCAGAGTGTGCACTGGTAGTCTCTGACTGGTTGGTGAAGAGTTCTCTCCTGCCTAGGAGTCACGTGTCTCCCAGCGTGACATCGTCACAGGGCTATCTTTTAGGGAACTCCACAAGCCACCTTTGGGTGGAGGTGTTGCCTTCTTGCTTCTCTCTCTAGAGCACTGGATCTGGAGTCAGGAAGACCCAAGTTCAAATTCTGCCTCAGACACTTCCTAGCTGTGTGGCCCTGACCTCTTTCTTTCTCGGTTTTCTTATCTATGAAAGGGAATAATAATAATAGCTACCCTACAGAGATTGTGAGGTTGAAATGGGAAATCATATGTAAATTGTCTTGAAAACTTTAAGCCTCCATCTAAGTGCTAGCTGCTGTTGTTATTATCTCCATGTTACACGTTAGGAGCTTGATGTTCAAAATCATGCCCGTGGTCACACAGATGATGTGTCAGAGGTAGGGTACAAACCCAGGTCTCTCGGACTCCAGCCCTCCATGGCTGAGATGCCGTTCAGAGAGATGAAGCGATTCACCCAAAGTCACACAGCTAGAAGTGGTAGATTTTTTTAGTTCAAACCCAGTGCTCTTTTCATTAGGCCACACTACCTCTCAGAGACACCCAAAATCCATCCCTTTGTTTCAAGGTACTTTTTTTGGGGGAAGGTTCCTATGTTTGGAATGAAGATCTAGAAATGGTAAAGTGGGGTAAGGCACGTGTGGGGGAATCCAGCTGATCTCTGAGCTGAGCTGAGCTGAGCTCCCTCTGGCCCTGCCGCAGCATCCTGGGAAGGTGGGGGGAAAGAGAAGAAAGCAAAGATAGAGGAAAAGCTGCTAAGGACCTGAAGTACAGTCCGTGTTCTGTTACCTTTTCTGGATTCCTTTCTCTCTGGGGCCATCAGCAGCTCTGGGGAGAGGGGTCCAAGACAGGAGTCACCCTGCTGTTCAGAAAGCAAGGAAGGAAATGAATAAAAATAGCCTGGTTCAGCTCAGAACTGCTACGCAGAAAACCCCATGTCATGAGGCGGAAGACAGTTTGCCAGCCCCTTTGTGTTTTGGGCAGATGAAAGAAGAAGGTATGAATTTTTAGAATTGGGTGGGATCTCGGAGGTCATCTTGTCTGGCCGGGTCATTTCAAAGAGAGGAAAATGAAAATCTGCAGAAGATAATTGGTTTGTCCAAATAAGTAGCAGAGTAGAGATTCAATCCAAGGGCATCTGGCTTCAAACCTTCAAACCTAGCGCTCTACTGTTCCATGGTACCCCAAGGATAGAAGAAAATGGATCACGTCAGTGTGGGTCCTTATATTCTCTCATATACTTATGCCAAGTTTATTTTCAGAGAGGACCTGACCAGGTTGCCATAAGGTCCCAGTAGGGACCTTGAATGGGAGGGTGTGGGGAAGAGAATCCTGTCAATCTTTGCCCTTCTGGAATATTCCCTGTGGAGGAGATCCCAAGTATGGGACCAAGGGCTGTCCCACTAAGCCGGAGCAAAAGATGTGGCATCAGGGGTTTCTCTCCTATTTCAGAGATTTGTGAAACAAGGTGGAGCAGGAAAGAAAATTTTGACTTAGGCATGAGGAGACCTAGTCCCTGTTCCAAATAATTTTCTGATTTTGTGACTTAGTTTACTCTATCTGTCAACTGGGTACAGTACCTCCACTACTACCCTTCTACCATATCTTGAGATAATGAATGTGAAAGTACTTTGGGGAAAAAATTAAAAAGATGATAGAAACATAGCCAGAATTGTCATCTAGTCATAGATCATTGGGACTGGGACAGACCTTAGAGATCATTGAGGCTAATCCTCCCATTTTGTAGAGAAGAAAATTGAGGCTTGCAGTGAATTGACATGGCCAAGGTCATACAAGTATTAAGCATCAGAGCTGGGGGAGGCTAGATTACAGGGTAGTAGGATAGAAACTGACAGGTCCCCTGAGGAAGATGAAAGAAATTTAAGGACAAGATTAGGGAGGGAATCTCTGGAATACTAGAGCTGACCGTGGAGATCATCTAGTCTAATTTTCTCATTTACATATGGTACAAGGGAGACCTAGTGAGGTTAAAACAATCTTCCTGGGACCACACAACCAGTAAATGGTAGGTCTGGGTCTAACTCAGAAGTTCTTAATTTGGGTTAGTAATATTTTGATGATATTTCAATATAATTGTTTTCCTTTCTAATCCTATGTATTTTATTTTATGCATCTAAAAACATTTGGACCACCCAAAGAAGCCATGGCACACAACAGGTTAAGAACTCCTCTTCTAGAATAATTCAGGCATCCTAACAGGGTTCTTTCCATTATATCATATGCTCATTCACCATTTGGCAGTTCAGAAAGCTTTCTGGTTCTTTCTGACTTTCTATGTCTACTGGACTCTCCATTCCTTGGTCCCATCTCTTCTCCCACCCACTCTGGGGTGCCTTATTTCTTCTCTGGACTCCCCCCATATCTAGACATTTCTACACTTGGAACATTCCAGGCTAGAGATTTCCAGTTTCCCAGATGACCGGCATCCTTCTGCCTGTGACCTCGGGGTGGTGGGCTGAGCAGGCTGCCCAAAGCCTTGTGTCCTATGCCATCGTGGACTCTGCTTTCCTGCCAACGTGGCCTGACTCTCTCTGGTGTCATCTCTGGCATATTCCTTCTCTGCCCTTTCTCAGTCCAGCCCCGAGGGTGAGAGAGGCTGGTGGGCTGCCCTAGTTTTGGGCTGTTGGCCCCAGCACTATGATAAGGATGTTGACACATGGCCCTAGTTTGGAGAGTGTCCCTCCAGCCCCGCATTGTGAGGGGCTCATTCGGCTGCCTTAGACCTCTTCCCTTGTCCCTGCCTCCAGCTTCCTTGCCTACCTCCAGTTATGCTGCCCTTAAATGTGCCAATCTTGTTTTCTGCCCCGATGGGCTCTTCCAGTCCTGCCAAGCCCCCTTTACTCCCAGCAACGCACTCTGACACACCTGATCACATCTCTTCCCTTTATCCTGGAAGAAAAGGAAAAGTGGGATTTCTGTAGTTAGGGCTCTCTCTCCTCCCCCTCCTGCCATGCTTTCTTTCAAGTGCTGACTTCTTCTCTGGGTGCCTATGGACAGCCCACTGGTGGTTTCCCCCTTCTCTCGGTTTTCCTTATCTCTGTCATGCACTGTTCCTGCTGAGAGGCCCTGCCTACCTTGTGGGGGCCAAAGAAGGGGGTGGGGGATAAACGGGGTGAGAGCTTCAGCATTAGGGAGGTGCTACAGAGTCACTCTGCCTGGGTCACACCACATGTGAGGATTGCTTGCAGGAACTTGGGGTATTTAGTTTGGAGAAGAGCATATTTGAAGAGGGGACCACGTGCCATAACTGTTGTTCAGTTGTTTTCAATTATGTTTGACTCTTTGTGATCCTATTTGGGGTTTTCTTGGCAGAGATACTGGAGTCGTTTGCCATTGCCTTCTCCAGTTCATTTTACAGATGAGGAATTGAGGCAAACAAACAGAATTAAGTGACTTTCCCAAAATCAGATAGCAAGGAAGTGTCTGAGGCTGGATTTGAACTCAGGTCTTCCAGACTCCAGGCCTGGTGCTCTTTGCACTATGCCGCCACCTAGCTGAAGGACTATCATATGAGGGAAGGATTAGGTTTAACTCAGCTTGGTTCCAGAGAGCAGAACTAGGATCAGATAGGAAAAGTTTTGCAGAGCCAAATTTGGTAAAAAAACAGCCTAACAGCGAGAGCTCTTCCAAAGTGCACGATGCTTCCTGGGGAGGGATTCAAGCAAAAGCTGGTGATCCCTTGTTGGTGATTAAAGAGATGAAAACAGAAAGGAATTAATGGGTCATCTAGGTTTAAATTTTCATTTCACAGATGAGGAAACTGAGACCAGGGAAGTTAATTACAAAAATACTTATAGCAGCCCAAGGTCACAGGGGACAGCTAGGCGGCACCATAGTGCACAGAGTGCTGGGCCTGGAGTCAGGAACACTCAACTTCCTAAGTTTAAACCTGGCCTCAGACATTTAAAAAAATTCATTTTTATTTTATTTTCAGTTCCAAATTATCTCCTTCCCTTCCTTCCCCCATTCACTTAGAAAGAAAGAAAAACAAAGTCCGTTACAAATATGTATAATCACATAAAACAAATTCTTACATTAGCTATATCCAAAAAAAATTAAGAAAGAAAAAAAAATTTCTCTCTGGAGGTAGGTAGCATGTTTCGTTATGAGTCTTTTGGAATTGTTCTTGGTTGTGTTGACCAGTTTCTAAGTCATTCAAAATTGTTTGACTTGATGATATTGTTGCTTCTGTATAAATTGTTCTCCTGGTTCTGCTCACTTTGCTTTGCATCATTTCATTCAAATCTTCCCAAGATTCTCTGAAACCATCCTCTTCATCAGTTCTTATAGCACAATAGTGTTCCATCACATTCGTGTATCATAACTTGTTCAGTCATTACCCAATTGACAGATATTCCTTCAATTTCCAATTTTTCACTACCACAAAAAGAGCTGTTATAAATATTTTTGAACATATAGGTCTTTTTTTTTCTTTCTTAGATAGGCAGTATCTCTGGGTGAAAGGGTATGCACGATTTCATAACTTTTCGGGTATATTTCCAGAATGGTTGGACCAGTTCACTGCTTCTCTTCTAATTTTAGCTGCATTAGTTTTGTTTGTGCAAAAACTTTTAAATTTCATATAATCAAAATTGTCCATTTGACCTCCTGTGAACCACTCTTTCTTTAGTCATGAACTCTTCCCTATCTGTGAATATGACAAATAATTTTTTCCACGCTCCTCTAATTTGCTTATGATATCACCCTTTATGTCTAAATCATATACCCATTTTGAGCTTATCTTGGCATATATATGTGTGTGTATATACATATATATTTGTGTCTATATATATAGACACATACATACATACACACACTCACACATATATACCCTTTTCTTCCAGGATAAATAAAGAGATGTGATGGACAGATCAGGTATGTCAGAGTGCATAAATATGTATACATATACTTGTGTCTAAATCATGTACCCATTTTGAGCTTATCTTGATATATGTATATATACTATATATATAGTGTATATGTGAGCTTATCTTGGTATATATGGTGTGAGATGTTGGTCTATACTTAATTTCTGCCAGATTGCTTTCCAGGTTTCCCAACAACTTTTGTTAAATATTGAGTTCTTGCCCCAATAGCTGGGATCTTGAGGTTTATTAAATACTAGACCACTGTGCTCATTTGCTTCTATATATTATGTACCTAATCTATTCCACTGATCAACCTCTGTTTCTTACCTAATACCATATTGTTTTTGACAAATATGACTTTGTAGCATAGTTTGAGATCAGGTGTTGCTAGGCTCTCTTCCTTCCCAGTTTTTTTTTTCCATTGATTCCCTTGATATTCTTGAACTTTTGTTCCTCCAGATGAATTTTGTTATTATTTTTTCTTTTCTTTTAAAAAATGTATTATTAATTTAGTTTGATTTATCAACGATCACTTTCATAAGCTTTTGAGTTTTAAATTTTTCTCCACCTCCCTCCCCAAGACAGCACACAATCTGATATAGGCTATACATATACATTCCTATTAAACATATTTTCACATTAGTGATGTTGTAAGTAAGAATTAGAATCAATAGGAAGAGCCAGCAGAAAAAGGAAACAAAACAAAACAGAAAGAAAAAAATAGGAAATAGTCTGCTTCGATCTGCATTCAAACTCCATAGTTCTTTCCTCGGATGTGGACAGCATTTTCCATCACGACGCCTTTGGAGATGTCTTAGATCCTTGTTTTCATTTCTATTCTATTGGTTCAATCTAGTCATGAACAATTAAGATTTCTCTTAATATTTCTTATTTAGATCTGGCTTTATTTAAATAAAGAGTGCTTTGTAATTACATTCACATAGTTCACGTGTGTTTTGGCAGTATTTTATAATGTCTAGTTATTTTTAAATGGAATTTCTCTTTCTCCTACTGCTGGATTTTGGTGATAATATACAGAAATGCTGATATGCATGGGTTTATTTTATATCCTCAACCTTGCTGAAGTTGTTAATTGTTTGCATATATTTGTTTGTTTCCTTCTTCATTAGATTGTGAAATCTTTGAGGTCAGGGACTCTTTGCTTCTTGTATCTTAAGTGCTTAGCACATAGTAGGTACTTAAATGTTTATTGATTGATTGTTTTATTAGTTTTTTAGTTGACTCTCTAGGTTCTTTCAGTAAACGTTTGTATTATCTACAAAAAAAGTGATAGCTTTGTTTCCCTTTGCCTATGCTTATTTCTTTAATATTTTTCTTGTTTTATTGATATAGCTAGTATTCCTAGGACAATATTAAATAGAAATGGTGATAATAAATCAATAAACATTTATTAAGTGCCTACTATATGTTAGGTACTGTACTAAGCAATGGGAATACAAAAGGAGACAAAAGACAGTCCCTGCCCTCAAGGAGCTTACAATCTAATGGGGGAGACAACATGCAAATAAACATATACAAATCAAACTATGTACAGGACAAATAGGAAATAATTAACAGAGGGAAGGCACTGGAATTAAGAGGGGTTGGGGAAGGCTTCCAGTAAAGGATAGGATTTTGGTTGGGACTTATAGGAAGCCAGAGAGGTTAGTAGTTGGAGTGGAGGAGAGTGTGATCCGGGAATGGGGGACAACTAGATAAAATGCCTGGAGCCAAGAGAAGGAATGTTTGCTCATGGAACAGGCAGGAGACCAATGTCATTGGATGGAAGAGTATACATGAGAGGTGTATGAAGACTGGAAAAGTAAGAGGGGTCCTGGTTATGAAGGGCTTTGAATGTCAAACAGAGAATTTTGTATTTGATCCTAGGGGTGATAGGAAGCCACTGGAGTTTATTGAGTAGTGGTGGGTGACATGGTTGGACCTGAACTTTAGGAAAATCCCTTTAGTGGCTGCATAGAGAATACATTGGAGTGGGGAGAGATTTGAGGCAAGCAGACCCACTAGCTACTCCAATGATATAGGTATGAGGTGATAAAGACCTGCACTAAGGTTGTGGCAGTGTCAGAGAAGAGAAGGGACGTATTTGAGATACGTTGTTAAATTGACAGGTCTTGGCAACAGCTTGGATGTGGGGAGGAGGGGAGTGGTCAGAGACAGTGAGGAGTCCAGGATGACTCCTAGATTGTGAGGTGGTGAGGCTGGAGGGATGGTGTTGCCATTGAATAGGGAAGGTAAGAAGTGGGGAGGGTTTGGGGAAAAGATAACGAGTTTGGTTTTAGACATATTGAGTTTAGGATGTCTACTGGACATCCAGTTAAAGATGTCTGAAAGGCAGTTGGAGATTGGAGATCAGCAGAGAGGTTGGGCAGGAGATGTAGATTTGAGAATCATCAGCATAGAGATGCTCATTAGATCCATGAGAGCTGATGAGATCACCAAGCAAAGTAGTATAGAAGAGGAAGACAAGAGGATGCAGTACAGAACTGTGAGAGACACCTTTGGTTAGAGGGTGTGATCTGGAGGAGGACCCAGTAAAGGAGACAGAGAAGGAGTGGTCCAGATAGGTAGGAGAATCAGGAGAATGGTGTCAGGAAAACCTTGAGAGAAGAGAGTATTAAGGAGGAGAGAGTGATCAAGAGTGTCGAAGGCTGCAGTGAGGTCAAGGGGAATGAGGATTGCTTTATTCCTGATCTTATTGGAAAGGCTTTGAGGTTGTCCTCATTATAGAAAATGCTGGCTTTTAGTTTTAGATAAATACTGCTTATCATTTTAAGGAAAGCTCTATTAATTCCTATGCCCTCAAGTTTTTTTTTTTTAACAGGAATGGGTGTTGTATTTTGTCAAAAGCTTTTTCTGCGTTGATTGAAATAATCATATACGATTTTTATTGTTTTTGTTATTAATGTGGTCAATTATGTTCATAGTTTTCCTAATATTGGACCAGTCCTGTATTCCTGGTATAAATGCCCCCTGGTGATAGTGTAGGTTCTTTGTGATATATTGCTGTAATCTCCTTGCTATATTTTATTTAAAATGTTTGCATCAATATTCATTAATAAAATTGATCTTGGTTTTAAGTATCAAGACCTTATTTGTGTCATAGAAGGAATTTGGTAGGACCCCTTCTCTATCTATTTTTCAAATAGTTTATATAATATTGGAATTAATTGTTCTTTAAATGTTTGGTAGAATTCACTGGTAAATCTATTTGGTATTTTTTCCCCTTTGGTAGTTCATTTATGGCTTGTGCAATTTCTTTTTCTAAGAAAGGATTATTTAAGTATTCGATTTCCTGTTTTGTTAATCTGGAAAATTTACAATTTTGTAAATATTCATCCATTTAGTTTAGACTCTCAGTTTAACTGGAGTATAGGTGGCAAAATAGCTCCTAATAATTGCCTTTATTTCTTCTTCATTGGCTTGTAAATTCACCTTTTTTATTTTTGATGTTGGTAATTTGGCTTTTGTCTTAAAAAAATCAAATGAGCTAATGGATTATTTATTTTATTATTATTTTTAAAAAAACCTGGCTCCTACTTTTGTTTATTAATTCCATTTAAAAAAAACCTTTCAATGTTGTTGAGCTCTTTTGATTTTCAGGATTTCCATTTTGATATTTAACTCGGGGTTTTTAATTTGTTGTTGGTTTTTCTTTTTTTTTTTTTTTTAGCTGCATGTCCAATCCATTGATCTCTTTTTTCTTTTTTCTTGATATGTTTTTAGAGACATAAAATTTCCTCCAAGTACTGCTTTGGCTGTATCCCACAAATTTTGGTGTGTTGTCCATTGTTGTCATTACCTTTAATGAAATTGTTGATTGTTTCTGTGATTTGTTCTTTGACCCACCCATTCTTTAGAGTTATTTAGTTTCCAATAATTTTTAATCTTTTCTTCAAAGACCCTTTATTAACTGTAATTTTGATTGCATTACGGTTGGTGAAAAAATGCATTTGATATTTCTACTTTTCTACATTTGAAACAAACATTTATTAAGCACTGGGGCAGTTAGGTGGTGCAGTGGCTAGAACGCTGGGCCTGGAGTCAGGAAGACCTGGTTTCAAATCTGTCCTAGCTATATTTTAACAGTGGGAGACAACATATGCATGCATAGGTGTATACAAGATACATACAAAGTAGATACAAGGTAACCTAGAAGGAAGGGTGTTTCATAGTTATGTGACCCTGGGCAAGTCACTTAACCCTGCTTGCCTCAGTTTCCTCATCTGTAAAATGAGCTGGAGAAGGAAATTGCACACCATTCCAGTATCTTTGCTGAGAAAACCCTAAAAAGGGGTCATGAAGAGTTAGACAGGACTGGAAATGATTGAACACACAACACAACATGACATTTGTTAAGCACTCTCTATATGCCATGCACTGTGAGAAACACAGGGGATATAAATATAAGCAAAACGAAAGACAGTCCCTTCCCTTAAGGAGCTTACATTCTAATGGGAGCTGAAAGGGCTGGGGTTCAGTGAGGGATGAAGGGACCTGGTACAAGGCCATGATTATGAAGTAATCATGAGGGGAATGAAAGCTAGTTTGGACACCTCCTCCGAATTAAGACCCCAAGAGGAACTTACACATGGACGAGTGACATGTTACTTTTCACCTCTTATTTGATGATTCCCCCATTTGTGTTTACATGCTGTTCCTCATACACGGTGCTTCGTATCCCCTCTGTATGTTCTGGCTGTCCGGCACGCCCGGAATTCTCTCCCTCTTGGAATCCCTGCTTCCCTGTTAAGAGTCAACTCTTCTGCAGGCCTTTTACTGTCTCCACCAGTATCCTAGTGCCTTTCCTTCTAGGTTACCTTGTATCTATGTTGTACATATCTCATGCACACCAATGCATGCACATGTCTCTCACTATTAAAATATAAGCTTCCTGAGGGCAAGGAATGCTTTACTTTTGTCTTTTTCATCCCTGGTGTTTAGCACAGTGCCCAGCACAAAATAGGTGCTTGATAAATACTTGGTGATGGATTGGTTGTTTGAAGCCCCCAAACTAGACAGGTGATGGTGACTTTTTCTTGTTTGAAATCTGAAATTGGAACTGAGAGGTAATAGGGGCTGGTATCCTGAATTAAGAGAACTAGAATTGAATGTTCACTTCCTGGGGAAAAAAGGGAGCACTTTAAAACTTTTATGATTGATTGTTCTATGTGGCCTCTGGGTGTGAATGCATGTACATTTACTGCAGTCCTTGAGTCAGGATGTGGAGGGCTGAAGGAAGAAATAAATCGTACTTGTCTTGGCATTTTCACAGGGTCAGAGTTTTTACGGCGACCTGGCCCAGTCTTGTAAAATTTATCCAGCTGTGGCAGGAGACTGGAGGCCTGTGTCCATGCTCTGATAGTAGCTGTGGGACTGAAAAGATGATTTGCACAGCCTACTCTCAGGAGAGGAATGCAAAAGGCACTGGATTTGGATAGGGGTAAGAGACTTTGTTGGGCAGCTAGGTGGTGCAGTGGATATAGCTCAGGGCCTGGAGTTAGGCAGACTCATCTTCCGGAGTTCAAATCTAGCCTCATACACTTACTAATTGTGTGACCCTGGGCAAGTTACTTCATCCTGCTTGCCTCAGTTTCTCATCTGTAAAATGAGCTGGAGAAGGAAATGGCAAACCACTCCAGTGTCTTTGCCAAGAAAACCCCAAATGGAGTCATGGAGAGTCGGACATGACTGAACAACAAAGTTAATTTGTGCCTCCATGTTTCTATTTCAGTTTTGACACCACTGTTCTAGGCAACTCTGTAAGATTATGAGTTGCAGAGAAAGTGCCAGACTTCATTGGTAGAGGGAATTTCTTCATCCAGGGGTCCTATATGTCAGCAAAATCCCAGGTCCAGTTCCTATTCCATGGAAACTTCTAATAGGAGACTTCCTTCTTTCCTTACTGGTCACTTCTATTCCTACCATACAAAGGGAGTGGAAAGGTTCTTTGGGCTACAGATTCAAGGTCATACTTCTCCTTCATAGCTTTTGTAGGATCTTCCTAGAATTGTTTGGTTGTTTTGAGTCGTGTTGGACTCTTCATGACCCTATTTGGGATTTTCTTGGCAGAGCTACTAGAGCGGTTTGCCATTCCCTTCTCCAGCTCATTTTACAAATGAGGAAACTGAGGCAAACAAGTCAAGTGACTTGCCTAGGGTCACACAGCTAGTAAGTGTCTGAGGCAACATTTGAACTCGGGAAATCTTCCTGGCTAGTGCTCTGTGCACTATGACACAACCTAGCTGCCCCTTCCTAGACTTGTAAGAGCCCTTAAAGACCATCTATCTAAAGGCTGGGGATTTAAACAACAAAGAGCTAATTACAGAAGGGAATCAATCAAGGGAATTGAAAGATCAAATGAAAAGGCATTAGTGTGTTTATGCTCACTCTTAGAATACCCAGCTTGCTAAGTGACACATACCCAGCCTTGAACCCCAAGGCAAGAAAGAGTTGAATGAAACTTAATTGCCCTAACTCAGCTACGTGTAAGGGCTGAGGACCTTCTCATGAGAAGAACTATTTCTGGACATCTGCCTGAGCTGTCCTATCTGTGTCTGAGGCACAGAAAAGCTGGGGCAGAGCTTTGAGGCTGATTGGAAAGAAGAGGGAAGGGAAAGGAAAGGAGAGAAACTAAGCCCCTTCTTCACTAAAAGCCACGTACTCCTTTCTCTAGTAACATGGGAGTTAGTGGGAGACTACTCATTCATGCATGGAATCTAAGAATGATATTGCTTTGTGATTTCTTCTTGTTACTTACATTACTATTCTGTTTCAATTAAGTGTTCCACTATCTGATTTTTCGGTTTCTGCTTTGTGTGTTTGAAGAGTCGGCACTAGATGGAGGCTTGAGGCACATTTCTCTTTTACATCAGACCTAACGTGATTACGAAGTTGAGTGATTCCTGTCACACAGTTGAAGAAATTGAGATCTGAGAAAGGTGAACTTAATTCATGCATTACTTCACAGAACAATTATCCTTCCCAAATCTTTCAAATTATCCTAGAACCCACTAGGAACCACTGATTCTTAATTTCATAGATTCAGGCGGGGGGACATCCATAAACATGGATGGGGAAAATTCTAACTTTATTTCAATAGTACTGATTTGCTTTGTGATCCTACGTATTTTTTTATGCATTTAAAAACATTATTCTGAGAAGGGGTCTATAGGCTTCCCCAAAGGTTGCCAGAGGGGTTCATAACACAAAAAAGATTAAGAATCCCTGTCCTAGATATTGTCTGGTCTTTCATAGTTTATTTACATATAGGTGTTCTCCATTTTTTGCCATTTAACTAGTGATGGGAGCTAGTGTGTATGGGGGTGGAAATCTGCAGTGAATGAGCAGTTTTGCTCTGCCTGCTGTCAACCCATATGGGAAGTTTGGTGAGCATGCTTCTGGAAGTGAATGATGACATGTAAAGGAGAGATTCTGTCCCCAGTTAAGAGCATGCATAGGCATTCTGTGACTATTTAATTTCTGATTCCTGTTGTAAAAGGGGCTGAGGTATCTAACACCAGGACTCTCTTAATTCAGGTTTGATTTTGGGATGAAACGAGGCACTAGGAAGTCACTGAACAGTTAATAAAAAAGGAAGTTTACTTTGCCCTAACACAGCAAAGATCCAGTGGAACTTATCTTCATCTTTAGTATGCATAGCTTCCCTCACCTCCTTATGGAAATGCATCTGGTCAGCAGAGTATGGAGACTCTCATGGTTTCAGGCACTCACCTAGTTTGAGGAGCCTCACGTGGCTGAGACTTTTATGCCCTTGGGTGACCAGGAAGCTGAGTCAGGCAAGTTGAGTCAATTAGGTCCTGTGGATAGCTTGGACTTCTTTTAGGGAAAGCTAATCCCTGTCATAGGAGAGACTTGAGGTTACCCCATATTGGAGGTGGTGGGGAAAGAAGCATGAAGCAATAAGGTTCTGGGGAAAGCTAATCTCTCTCATATCAGGGTAGGAGGCATGGGCTAATACAGTTTTTTTTTGGCTAGGCAATGGGGTTAAGTGACTTTCCCAGGGTCACACAGCTAGTAAGTATTATGAGTCTGAGGCTGGATTTGAAGGCTAATACAGTTTTGGGGGAATGTTGGTAGATATTGATTCTATTACAACTATAGTTGTAATGTAAATGTAGTGAAGACGTTTTAATTGGCTGCTGAGCTAAAACTAGTGGGTGAATAGAAAAGTCAACAGAACAATGACTTACTTTCATGGTGGTGATCAAGTCAAGAATGGCTGCTGGTGCCATCTTCCTTCCTATCTGGGTGGCCGCAAAGCCAAGAACACACGACACCTTTGTGTCTTTGTTCCTCTTTGCTTTTAGGGGAATGAGTATTGAGATGGAGTGGACCAGGCTGTGATCTTGTGGCCTTCAAAGGGTTGGAGGAGCCACCAAATGTGTAGAGAGGGGGAGACTGCCACAAAGGCCACAGCCAATACAAATGCAGCTCCAAGAACAACCTGTGTAAGCCAGCCCAGCAGTGAATCTACCTGGCGGCCGACATGCCATTTCTTGCAGGCAGGGGAGTGTATTTTCCAGGGCTGTGTCACACCCAGAAGTCAACTTCTAGAGAGACTTTTTAGTAACAGTCACTTTGAGCTTGAACTCACCCAGAGCCCAAAGTGGCAGAGGGGATAGTGTGCCTTGATTCAGGGTAATGTGTTTATTCTTTTGTGCTTGCTCTATCTTCTCAGTATATATCCCTTTATAAAAGCTAATTGATATTAATTGCTTATTGGTGATGTTGAGGAGGTATCAATACAAGGGTAAAATGATCACTAATCACTGGTGATGATACCGGGTGGAACACATTGGGTGGGAGCTCAATCCAATAGCATTAGAAGACTTCTATGCCCCTAGGGGGTACCCAGGACCCTGAGGGAGAGATGTAGTTAGCCATGCTCTGGGAACCCCACCTGCCAGTGTGCATATATGTTGGGGGAGTAGGTCCATGGTCTCACTACAGTTATATCTACATTTCTGTTTTCAATGTGGTAATATTTACTCATTCCATGGTCTGCCTACATATGAGGGCAAAATGGGAAGCTATAACCTCTTTTGGAGGAAGTGGGGATCATAGGATTGTAGACTGAGAGCTGGATCTCAGAATAGCCTTGGTTTGAAGCTGGTAGGAACCATGGAGAGAAAGTGAAGAGAGATAGGACCTGGTCTGACCCTTTCATGTTACAAATAAAGAAACCAAGGCATGACTTGACCAAAGTCTTAACCGAATCCACTAAACTCATCTCTAAAGTCAGCAGGATTGCTTTGAATGTTTCTTCTTTGGAGAGATCAAGTGTTAATTATTGGAGCATCTGAGTTCTCAGGTCAAATATGTGATACAGTAGAGCTGTAGCTGGGGTTCTTTTGTGGCTATGGATTGGTCTAGATGGTTGATGAATTCTCTTCCAACTCTGAAATCGGCAATTCTGTGAAATTTGTGGGGAAAACATCTAGGCATCAGTTGAAACTTCTCTGGGAAGATTCTTTGAGAGCCTGAGCCATCCAAATCATCCCCAGGAACCCACTTGAATTCTGAAAAGGCAGCAAGATGATTAATTAAACGTTTAATGTCAATTAGTGTAGCACATTAGCTTTTTAGGTCAAGTTTATGATACAGTAATTTTCCTCCACTAAAGTCTCACTAATAATTTATCATGATAGAGTAGACCTTGTTTCTAAAAGGCCAGCCTAGCAAAGTACAAATTCTTGTATAATTCCATAAGTTGGAAGGGTTTTAATTCCACCCTGTCAATGCTGTACTTAAGACAGTATGGCTATGATTTGACGACTGGGTAACTAAGTTTAGGGTCTCATCAACAAATTGGGCACTTGATAGAATATAAGCTACCTGAGGGCAAGGCTTTTGTCTTTGTATCCCTAGTATCTCACACAAAGCCTAGACACTGTAGACTGTAAGCAAGCTCCTTGAGAGAAGGGACTGTCTCTTGCTTTTTTTTTTTTAAATCCCTGGTTGATTAGCACAGTGCTTAGCACATAGCACACACTTGATAAATGCTAGCTGACTGATTGAAACTTAATAAATACTTTTCCGATTGATTGATTGATTGACTAGGAGATGAAGGCTTTGGTCATAGCAACTCATGAGACCATAAACTAAAGTGTAAAAGGGTTGTAACTTACATCAGTAGGAGAAGGGAACACACCAATAGAATTTAAAGTCTAGCCCCAACACCTACAACCCCAACATGGTGCCTGCATGGAGCAGACGCTTAATTAGTCCTCCTTAATTGGATCATGAGATCATAGATCCAGAGTTGGAAGGGACCTCAGAGGCCATCTAGCCTAACCCTCTCATTTTTAAAACAATTAAATTTCTTAATTCACAAGCATTCATTTTCTTTGCCTCTCACCTTCACCCTTCTCCCATTGGAAAAAGAAAAACAAACCCTTTGTAATGAATATATATAGTTAAGCAAAACAAATGACCCCATTGGCCCTGACCAGAAATGTCTGTCTCAAGTCTGTGACTTTTTTTTGTTGTTGAGGCAATTGGGGTTAAGTGACTTGCCCAGGGTCACACAGCTAGTAATTGTCAAGTGTCTGGTCTGAGACTGGATTTGAACTCAGGTCCTCCTTGACTCTAGGGCCAGTGCTCTATCCACTGCACTGCCTAGCTGCCCCAAGTCTATCACTTTTCTGTCAGGACTAACACCCTTTGTTTTACAGATGTGGAAATTAATTAATGATTTGACCAAAGTCACATACGTGGCATCAGAAGTGGGATTTGAGGGGCAGCTAGGTGGCACAGTGGATACAGCACCGGCCCTGAAGTCAGGAGGACCTGAGTTCAAACCCGGCCTCAGACACATAACACTTACTAGCTGTGTGACCCTGGGCAAGTCACTTAACCCCATTGCCTAGCAAAAAAACCAAAAAACAAAAAAGAAGTGGGATTTGAATTCAGGTTCTCTGATGCTAAGATCTGTGCTTTGCACTCTATTATGCACCTCAGAGCCTTGAGAGTACTGAAATAAGTTATTTTTTTACCTGATGTATAGACAGGGCAGTTAGGTGGTACATTGGTGAGAGTGCCAGTCCTAGTAGCAGGAAGACTCATCTTTCTGAGTTCAAATCCAGCCTCAGACACTTGCTAGCTGTGTGACCCTATGCAAGTCATTTAACCTTGTTTGCCTCAGTTTCCTCATGTGTAAAAATGAATTGAAGAAGGAATGGCAAACTGTTTCTGTATTTCTGCCAAGAAAACCCCAAATAGGGTCATGAAGAACTGGATACAACTGAAACGACTGAGCAATAGCAACGTGAAAACATGCAGATGAGGAGATGCAGAACCCCAACAAATTCCTGGGAAATTTCTAACTGACTCATCTCACTAGAATCAATCACTGCCTCACTCTCTTCAAAGGCTTCAGATCAAGGCTTCTCTTGACATGCTCCTGATATAAATTTCACCCTAACTGAGACTTTATCTTTATATCTCCCCCAGGGCCTAAAACAGCGCTCTGTTTAATCTATATTTGTTGACTTGAACTGAATTGAACATTGGGGTCCCTTGTACTATCAACAGGTACAGTATTTCACCGACAAAGGCTGGCTCCCTTCACAGGTCTGATGTCCCAAAAGGCAAGCAATTCCTCTTGGGGGCAGCCTCTGCCAGGGAAATACACTAACTAGGAGGTGCCAAGGGCCATGTCTATCACCTCTTTAGGGAGGTGAACTTTAGGGAGTTCACTACCTTATTTGCTCAATCAAACTGGCCAGAGACCTCCCATGATCTCCACCGACCCACTTCATATGGATTCCTGGGTCCATTTTGGGATTCTGATGCTCCAAAAGCTAGATCAGAGTTCTCTGGGTTCTCTCTACATTGAGGAACTCAACCTAACTCCACCTAAAAAGCTCTCCTCTCTCTTTCTGGCACATCCTATAACTCAGGACTTTGCTCAAACCCCAAGGGCAGGGTGTGACTGACTCTGGATTCTTCTGACAGAACCGCAGAGCTCAGTCACTTCTACGACCAGTGAGCAGCAAATGGGTGAGGGCAGATGGGTGGGAAGAGAGGGAACTACAAGAGGACTACCAGTGGCATCTTGGAGCGTTTAGAGGATTTTGCATTCATTTAAAATCAAATAAATTCAACTTGGAAGAATTACTGCTAATTCTCCCCTTTGGGGAGAGAATATACAGGTAGAAACAGGATGCAACAGCCAGCTACTACAAACTGTGGCCTTTCCTTCAAAGAGGTGTGTGCACATGCACATGCACACTCATGCGTGTCCTAGGGATGCTGAGAGCTTTCTGTTAGCTATTCTAGACCCTTCTGGCATCTCTGAATCACAAAATGTTAGAGCTGGAAAGAATCTTTGATATCAGTGGATCCAACTGCCTTTTGTAGAAGACATGGATGCTCAGAAAAGCTAGGTGACTTGCCCAAGGTCATACAGCTTGTAAGGTGCAAAGCTGAGACCACAACTTAGCTCTCAGCTCCTAAGCTAGGATCCTCTCCACTGTACAATGTTTAGGTTATTAGCATAGTGATGCTACTGCCTTGCGTATCTACAGCAACACCTGCTTTTTTTCCTCCGTGTCATTTTATTTTAGCCATAATCTCCCCTCCTTGTGACACCACCCACACGTATGCTTTGCTCCAGCCAAGCTGGGTTTCTCATTGGCTCTTCCCCACTTCATGTTTCTGAACCTTTGTTCATACATCTGGAACACTCTTCTTCTCAACTTATCTGAATCTCGCTTCTTTTGAAGAACTAAGTTCAAGGGGGCAGCGAGGTGGCGCAGTGGATAGAGCATGGGCCCTGCAGTCAGGAGGACCTGAGTTCAAATTCGGCTTCAGACACTTAACATTTACTAGCTGTGTGACCTTGGATAAGTCACTTAACCCCAATTGCCTCACAAAAATAGAAAGAAAAAAGAATTTTAAAGAAGAGCTAAGCTCAAGCTGTGTTGTCTCCTCCAGGAAACCTTCCCTGATCTCTTCAGCCCACACTACGCTTTCTTTCCTCCTGCTCTTCTTGTCTATACCCCTTCATTAGCCTAAACTGTGCTATGTTGACATTTCACTTATGTGTAGGCATCTTGTCCCCCTAACTAGATTAGAAGGTCCTGGAGGGCAATGCCCCCTTCACCTGACTGGACTGCTCTGTCACTGGGCAGGGACACAGAAAAGCTCAGTTAAGTGTAGCTCATCCAGGATTCACACTCAGGTCTCCCGACTTTTAGTCCCCTCAGTACCATCTTCTGGGAATTTAGAGCTCTCCAGGCATGGCTTGGACAAGAACAGCTCTCAGCTCTCCTCCACACAGCATACCTATTGCTCTGGCCTTCGGCACCTTCCCTCCCCACCCCAAGATGGCTCGGGGAGTGTCTTTCCTAAAAAGACTACAAAGGAGTTACTTCTGGATGAGAGGGCATTCCTCTTAGATCGTTGGTGTGCTCTGGGGTCTGTCATGGCACCATCATATGAATTGTCCTGAAACTCTGTTTTCAGCATGATGTGTCCCTGCTCAAGAATCTGCCATAACTCTCTACTTCCTCTTCATAAAGTTTAAACTCTTTTGCTTGGCGTCCAAGGCCTTCTATATATGAGTACCCCCATTGTGTCCTCACCTTTCAATCTTAACATATGAATCTGAACTGCGCAGTCGGGTCTCCATCACATCATAGTCCTTTCTGTCTCTGCCTGCCTTTCTCATGCTAATTTTCTCAACATCAATGCCACTCCTAAGTCCACTCAAACTACTGCCTTTGTTTAGCCAAATCCTACCCATCCTTTGGAGGCAAGTCACCTTCCACCTCCTCCACAGAGCCCTCCATGACTACTCCAGCCCACAATAATGCTTTGAAATCCACCTGGATGCTGGTGACCCCATCGAGCCCTTAACTGAGGCCAATAATTAAGACCAATTATTTCACAGGAAGCCAGGGCTCCCAGCAGCTTGTAAACTTCCTGTGGGCTGGGGCATCTTTTTATTTTTATCTTTTGTTCTCTCCTCCTCCTACAGTGCCTAGGGTGGTAGTGGGTTCTCATCTGGGTTGCATTAAAGCCTGGAGGGTTGCCTGGTTTCCCTGGTTTTAGGGGAGGGGATTCCAGACTGGGACGGGAGGGAATCTTATGGCAGGAGGAAGGCTACACTCTCCAGGGGCTACAGGGGTTGAGGAGGTACAGGATGTCAGGAAAAGGCTGACATGTTTAGCCTGAGATTGATCGGCATAAATTAGGAGGCTAGATAGGGCCCATCAGGAAAATGGTCAAGATGAAGGCTAAAAGCATCATTTCATCCAAGGGAGAGATACACTCTCTAAGGCAGGAAGGTCTTGACTAGGGCAGCCTCGATCACAGATGCAGGTGTTGGCTCAGTGACTCGTGGGGCTCCATCAGTCTCTCAGACCAGCTCTGGGCCCAGCCTTGTCCTCCAGAGTATAACCTGGGAGGTGGGGGCGGTGTCTTATCAGCAGTGGGAGACCCAGTGGCCACTGCACACTTTACCCTAGGAGGGCCCAGGGCCAAGTGGCCAAGGGGAAGGGGCCTCTTGGCAGAGGTTCTGTGCTTGGTGGGTCCAGCAGGGATGTCCACTTGTATTTGACAGTCTGACGGCTGCAGATCCAGAGCCCGGTTTGGGGCAGGTCTCTGCAGAGCTGCTGGGACACCGATGCTCAACAGGAGATGATGAGCTGGTTGGCAAGAGCCTGGGGTGCCTGGGCCTGCTCCAAAGGCTGTTTCTGCAGGAGCTCGCAGCTAGCCAGTGTCCGGTACAAGGCATCTAGGACTTCGAAGGTGTGGGCCTTCTCTATAGGGGAGAACCAGGAGGCAAAAGCACAGCATGACTTCAAGGCTGAGGCCAGCAAACCTTTGGGGTGAGTGCCCTCTCCCCGCCCCAATCCATCAATCCACAAGCATTTATTAAGCAGCAACTCTCTCAGGCACCGGTGATACGAAGACAGAAGTTAAACAATTTCTGTTCTAGAGGACTCTAGCGAAGGGAGGCAACAGGTACAGATGTAAGAATACACATAGAAGGTGGTACTTGGGTGGAGCCTGGAAAGGGGGTGGAGGGGAGGAGGAAGTTCATCCCAGGGAGACAGGAGATGGAATGCCATGTGTGAGCAACAGTGAGGCTAATTTGGCTGGGCTCTAGTGTGTGCAATGGAGAATAATTCATAATAAGGCTGAGAACTAAGAAGGGGCCAGGTGGGAAGGATTTGAAATGCCAGAAGATTTTACATTTGGTCCCGGAGGAAATAGGAAGCCACTGGAATTTATTGAGGCAGTGGGGCACGTGCTAATATTTATTGACTTAGGAAAATCACTTTGGGTTGGAAGGTAGATTGGAGATGAGTGAGGAGGCTATTGCACTGGCCCAGTCTTATAGTGCTGATCTCATTCATATATATATATATATATATATATATGTGCTTTTTATATAATATATTTATATAATATAATATATACATATATACATACATACATACATACATACATATATATATGTATATAGGCTTTTTTTTTGGTGAGGCAGTCGGGGTTAAGTGACTTGCCTAGGGTCACACAGCTAACATTCTGTCTTATATTAATATATTAATATTTTCTGAACATACAACCCCTAGCTGAGCTATAAACTCCACAAAGACTGGAACAATGTTTTCATGTCTTGTACAGGACTGGTGTTTATAATAAATGTAGGTTGAACTGAATTGTTCATTTTTATATCTCTCATGATCCCTAGCATAGAGCGCGGTCCTCAATGAATATATGTTTGAAAAGATGGGAAATTTGGAAAGGTTGAGATTCAGGGTGAGCCTGGGGGGAAGAGGAGGAGACTGTACAGGTTTTGGCACTTTGGAAAATGCCTCTGAGGCTCCTGGGGCTGTTTTCTGTTTGTCTTCCAGGCTGAAGGGAGCTTAGCCCCAAGCAGGATTCAGGTTCCCTGTTTCAGAGTGGCTCCCCACCCGGCCCTGGCCACACCTCCAAGAGCCTCCTGCTGCTGCCAAAGCAGATCCGCCAGCCTGCCCGGAGCTTCTGGCCAAAAGCAGCTTAGAGAACAGTGGGAGATTCTCTTAGTTCTGGTGCCATCAGGAACCACATGTGGCCTTGGCTGAGAAGGGGTAGGGCTTGCATTTGGTCGAGATCCCAAACCCACATTTGGGTTGGATTGGGGAAGCAGGTTTTCCTTGGTGGGGGGCTGGAAATGACTAGCCTGTGGAAGCCATGCAGCAGGAGGGGGGCCCCTTGTTTTCTTTTATTTGGATTCCCTGCGACCTCCCACTGCATTCCCCGCTGCTGGGGGCCTCCTCTGGGACTCCTCCTTCTCCTGCACTCCTCCATTCTTCCCTTTGTATGCAGATTTTTTTTTGCAAAACTAACAACAGGAGGGAGGTCATTTAGGGTGCTGAATAGAAGAAAGCTTCAAAATCTGAACTTTCAAGGAAGTCTTGCCCAGCTCTTGCCAGACTATTCCAGTTTAGTGTCCATTTCAGTTCATTTCTTTGAAGAGAAATGTTTAAGTTTTCCAAGCACTTTCCTGTCTCACCTTATTCTATCCTCAAAACACCCCTAAGAAATAGGTGGGAATGAGGATATTAGCCCCCATTTCACAGATTATAAGATCATGGCTCTAAAGTTTGGAAGGGGCCTCAGAGGCTGCTATCTATTCCAGGGGTTCTTAACTTGGATTCCACAGATAGATTTCAGGGGATCTGTGAACTTGCTTTTAAAAAAAATCCAATAACTCCATTTCCATATAATGGGTTTCTTCTGTAATCCTATGTATTTTATTTTGTTTACTTAAGTACATTATTGCAAAAAGCAGTCCTTAGCTTCAACAGATTGCCAAAAGGGTCTCTGTTACAAAAAAAGGTGAAGAATTCCTCATCTAGCCAATTGCCTCAGTTTCAACAGATTGCCAAAAGGGTCTCTGTTACAAAAAAAGGTGAAGAATTCCTCATCTAGCCAATTGCCTCAGTTTTCAGATGAGGAAACTGAGGTTCAGTTAAATGACTTGCCCAGGGTCATGTAGCTATTAAGTGTCTGAGGCAGGATTTGAACTGAGTTCCTCCTCTCTAAATCCAGCACACTATCCTCTATGCTATGCTGCCTTCCAAGGATCAGGAAGGTTTAGGATGAAAACAATGGCTACCACTTAAGTTATTTTCATTTACATAGTATTTTAGATAGTCACAACAACAAAAAAGAGGAAATTTAAAAAATGAAAGCTTAGAGGTGAAAAACTTTCCATCCGATATGAGGAAACACCATACATGTCTATGAGGGGCTGGGACCAAAGGTCCCTTCTAGCTATGACATTCTATGGCTCTCTTCTAGGATTCTAAAGGCATATAGGTTCTTTCCTTTCAACATCAGTGCTGTTGGAAGCCAGACATGCTATGGGAGTCTGGACAGTGGGTACAGGTGTAACAAACCTATGCATTCTCAGCATGGTCCAAGCTTCCATCATGAATTGGTTGCTCTCTCCCCCTCTCTCTCCTCAATACTCTAGGACAGCAGCATATGAGGACTTTGGCTAGTTAAGCAGTTTTTGATGATAAGATATGTAGGGAATGTAGGAAAACTTTTACCTGGAGTCTTGGAATGGGGGGCAGGGTAAGGGTTAGAGGCTTGTGGGGGGTAGGTTTGGGAAGGAAGAGAAGGGCATCTGGCAAAATTGGAAGGGGACTGAAAAGACCCTGCCTTCAAGTCCCTGGTACCCCTTCCCCCTCCACTTCCTGCCTTAAATTCAGGGTATGTTTTGTAAAGGAAAACTCCGGAGCTTGTTACAGTTCTGGGGGGACCTAGCTGTCATGCTTGAAAGCAGAGCAGGTAAGCCTCTGGCTTGCTAATATGACCTAAGAACCAAACTGTTTTGTAGGCTTAATTTGAACTTTGATTCTGAATGTTGATGGATTGTTTTTCAGGCAGTTCTTTTTTAGGACCAGGTTATCATCATAGGAAACTGATCTCCCCTGTTCCCATCTCTCCCTCCACCCTTACCCTCTATCTACTCATTTCAGAATAATAAGGTACAGAAATGATTTTAATTACCAAGGAGCTTTCCTACCATGTTGGGGGTCCTGACAGGATTCCAAGGTGTTCAGCAACATTTTCCCCAAGACTCTTTTTGATATGTTCTTAAAAAGGAACAAACACATGAAATAGGTCATTCTATATGGCATGTCACCATCACATCATTAGTATGAGAAGCATGGTATTGTATACAGAGAGCTGGTTCAGAGTCAAGAAGACTGGAGTTCAGATCCTACTTCTGACAAACACTGGCTTTGTGGCCATGAACAAGTCATTTGACTTCTCTGTGGTTGGGTTCCAGTTCCAAATCTAGGATCTTACAAATCGCAGTATCTCAGAATTGGTAAGACCTTAGAAATTATCTAGTCCAATCAAGAGGTGACCAAAACCCTCTATAAACACTGCCAGCAAAAGGCCCAGCTTTTTCTTGAAGTGGGCCAATGAAATAAGGTCTCTGGCAGCAACAGGAGTAATGAGACCCACGTGGACTCCATACTCACATTCAAATGCACATCTCTGGGGTAAGTGGAAAGAATGGAAGGCTAGGAGTCAGGAGCCCTCAGTTCTGATCCCAGCTCTACCACCAAGTCTAGTGCTCTTCTAGTAGTACCACCATGCTACCTCCAATACACAATGAATGACTGAATAGGTGAAAATGAGCTAGGCTTAGAGCTACATGTCTGGGTCTCTTTCCAACAGACTACACGCTGCCTCCAGTGGGGACTGAAAGACTCTGTTTTAAGTAGGTGATGGTGGCAGGAAGAGCCATGTTCTGTTGGTATACCAAATCCCGAAGCCTCTGGAGAAGATGAAGGACATCCATCAGCTTTTCTTCCACCAGGGAGAGCCGAACTCGCTCCGTCTCAAGCATCTGTAACTCCATCTTCAGAAGCTCACTCTCCTCAGCCTTCTGCTGAATTTCACTGAGAAGAAGTGGCTCCTTCACCTGGCCAGAGACAGAAGAAATTCAGCACTGGAGCTGTCCAGCAATTCAATTCATTTCACCCCCTCTCAGGAGGTGCTGTCATTCCTCTGAGCTGGTGGCCACTTGAGACTTGTTACTGTGATGATGGGGTGACTGATTTACTGTAATAAGGAGAGTTCAAATAAGGATGCTGAAAGCTTAGATGGGGGCTACAAGAATATTTTTCAGAGCTCTGCGATCACATCAGAACCTCTCAATAGCTCTGAGGTAGGGAGGGAAGGTTGGACAGGAATTGGGATTCCTATTTTCTAGATGAAGAAACTCAGGTGTAAAGGGGAAATGGCCTGCCCAGGGGAACCTATAAAGTTAGTGGCAGAGTTGACACTAGAACCTAGGTCTCCTGACACAGGACTTATTATTTCATTATGCCAAATAGCTTTTTGGAATTTTCTTGTACCACATTGGAAACATAGTCTGTAATCTGAGGGAATGCTGGTTTGAGGTCAGATGACCTGGGTTTGAATCCTAGTTCTGCTACTTTCTACCTGGGTGGCCATGGGAAAGTTATTTGGCTTCCTTGGCCCTCAGTTTCCTCACCTGTGAAATAAAGGGTCTGGACTAGGATGGCCTCTGAGATCCCTTCTAGCCCCAAGATCCTATCAATGGTCCTCTCCTCTGGTTTCATCTTCCCTCCTCTTAGGTTCCCAGGCAAAAACTGTTTCCTTTCTCATTTTCCTTCATAGGGAACCAACAGGTCCTCCTCTGAGGCCCTGACCTTGCAATCCTGTGTCCACCCCATTCATTCCCACTATTTTTTTGTAGCTGTGGTTTTCATTCCCCTCCCAGGCCTCACTAGAGAGTTCATTTCACAGTCGAATGATTATTTAAATGTTTCTAAAGAGAAGATTACAACACCCAGAGGAAAAGAGAAAAGGAGAGTGACTTGAGCAGACAGAAAAGGCTTTTTTTTTTACCACTTAAGGATGACAGCCCGTGAGGGCAAGTTATCACCAAAGGATTTACTTTGTTCAGTGAATAGGAGCCAGGGAGCCAAGAAGAAAAGGGAGGGATGGGAAACTAAAGAAGAAAGAAAACAGAGGCATGTGGGCTGAAAGGAGGACTTCAAACATGCCCCTTCTTGGGGGGCCCCTGAGCCATCAGATGCCTACCTTCCCATTGTCAGATAATCCCTAACTGCTGGCATACTGCTTTGTGCTTTACAAAGCACCTTCCTGTACATTGTATATAGTCTATAGCTTACAGTTGGACAGGGCTTTCGGGCTCTCTATAAGGTTTCTATATGGAGGCAAGGGAAGAAAGCTGGCTTTTGAATGCCTTTGTCCAATCTCTGCCTCATACTGGCTGTGTGGCAAGTCTCCTGACCTCCCAATACACCAGGCAATTCTTCAAGACCAGAAATGCAGAGAGACATTGGGAGAGGGGGGTTCCTCATTGAAAACTACCTATATTAATGAAAAATATGGTTTTAAAAAAGCAGCAGTAGCTCACATTTTTATAGTATGTTAAGGTTTATGTATTTTTCTTGTATCAACCCTGTAGCATTGGATTATTATCTTCATTTTAGAGATGAGGGAATTGAGGCTTAAGAATGAGACATATTTTTGGGACACGGCCAATGTGGAAATTTATCTTGTTTGACTATGTGTATTTCTTACAAAGGTGGTTTTTTATGGTAGAGGAGGGAGAGAAAATAGATTTTTGTTAATTGAAAGAAAGAAATCGGAATTTAAAACAACTGAGACTGAGAGAGGTGATCTTTGGATCACCTATTTAAAACTTGAGGGAGGGGGCAGAGCCAAGATGGCAGCGTGAAAACAGTGACTTGCTTGAGCTCTCATCCAAACCCCTCCAAATACCCGTAAAAAAAAATGGTTCTAAACAAATTCTAAAGCAGCAGAACTCACAAAAAGACAGAGTAAAACAAATTTCCAGCCTAAGACAGCCTGGATGGTTGATCTGAAAGGCATATCATGCCGGGTGGGGAGAGAAGCTCAGTTCGGCATGGGCACGCAGGCCGCAGCGAACCTGGAGCAGGCCTCAGAGGAACGAATCACAGGCAACTGTGGCGGTTTCCAGACTCCTCAATCCATGAATGCCAAAGACAACTTAGAAGGTCAGTGGGAAAAGTCTGTTTTGGCATTGAAAGAAGAGCTAGGTCAGAGCCAGTTTCAGACTGCAGAGCGCTGTTGCAGGGACAGTGGCTGCATCCTGAGCTTCCGGCCCACAGACTGAGGGGGAGTCGAGTGACTGATCAGAGGGGGACTGCAGGGATCTCTTTGCTAGTACAGAGGCAGTAATCTCTTGCTTTGCCCAAGCTTGGATCTGGGTCACAGTTCTGGGTGGTGGTCCTGGGGTTAGGAGGAGCGCTGGCATGGTGGAGCTTGTAGTGGTTGTGGAGAGGAAACCCTCCTCACAGTTCCAAGAAAGAAAAGACTGCTTGTGGCCGGTCACTCAAAGACCAGAGCACAGGCCAGGAAAAGAGTAAACACCTCGCCCCTTATCATACCACCTTGCAAGAACTGAAAATTTACAGGTCCCTAGAAGTATCTCTGAAAACAGCTATACAAACCCCTGGAGCTTGGGACAGTACATTCTCCACATTGGAAGCAGATCTTTACCTTAACAAAGAGTTTAAAACTCAAGTAGTTGGCTGGGATCATGAGCAAACCTCGCAAAAAGAGTCAGATTATATTATCTTACTTTGGTGAAAAAGAAGATCAAAACATACAACCAGAAGAAGACAACAAAGTCAAAGCTCCTACATCCAAAGCCTCCAAGAAAAATATGAATCATCCCAGGCCTTGGAAGAGCTCAAAAGGGATTTTGAGAAGCAAGTAAGAGAAGTAGAGGAAAAACTGGAAGAGAAATGAGAGTGATGCAAGAAAATCATGAAAAACAAGTCAACAGCTTGCTAAAGGAGACCCAAAAAAATACTGAAGAAAATAACACCTTAAAAAATAGCCTAACCCAAATGGCAAAAGAGGTCCAAAAAGCCAATGAGGAGAAGAATGCCCTAAAAAGCAAAATTGGCCAAATGGAAAAGGAAGTCCAAAAGCTTACTGAAGAAAATACTTCCTTAAAAATTAGAATAGAGCAATTGGAAGATAGTGACTTTATGAGAAATCAAGACACAGTAGAAAACCAAAAGAATGAAAAATTAGAAAACAATGTGAAATATCTCATTGGAAAAACAACTGACCTGGAAAATAGATCCAGGAGAGAGAATTTAAAAATTATTGGACTATCTGAAAGCCATGATCAAAAAAAGAGCCTAGACATCATCTTTCAAGAAATTATCAAGGAAAACTGCCCTGATATTTTAGAACCAGAGGGCAAAATAGAAATTGAAAGAATCCACAATCTCCCCTGAAAGAGATCCCCAAAGGAAAACTCCTAGGAATATTGTAGCCAAATTCCAGAGTTCCCAGGTCAAGGAGAAAATATTGCAAGCAGCCAGAAAGAAACAATTCAAGTACTGTGGAAACACAATCAGGATAACACAAGATTTAGCAGCTTCTACATTAAGGGACCACAGGGCATGGAATATAATATTCCAGAGGGCAAAGGAGATAGGATTACAACCAAGAATCACCTACCCAGCAAAACTGAGTATAATCCTTCAGGGGAAAAAATGGTCATTCAGTGAAATAGAGGACTTTCAAGCATTCTTGATGAAAAGACCAGAGCTGAATAGAAAATTTGACTTTCAAATACAAGACTCAAGTGGAACATGAAGAGGTAAACAGGAAAGAGAAATCATAAGAGACTTATTAAGGCTGAACTGTTTACATTCCTGCATGGAAAGATGATATTTATAACTCATGAGACCTTTGTCAGTATTAGGGTAGTGGAGGGAAAAATTATATGTATGGATATGATAGATAGATAGATAGATAGATAGATAGATAGATAGATAGATAGATAGATAGAGGGCACAGGGTGAGTTGAAGATGAAGGGGTCATATCTGGAGAATAAAATTAAGGGGTGAGAGAGGATTATACTAGAGAAGGAGAAAGGGAGAGGTAGAATGGGGTACATTATCTCACAAAACAGACAAGAAAAGGTTCTTACAGTGGAGGGGAAACAGGGGAAGGTGAGAGGAAATGAGGGAATCTTATTCTCATAGGATTTGGCTTAAGGAGGAATAACATACACACTCAATTGGGTATGGAAATCTGTCTTACCCTACAGGAAAATAGGGGAGGAAGGGGACAAGAGAGCAGGGGGATGATAGAGAGAAGGGCAGATTGGGAAAGGGGTAATCAGAAGAAGTACTTCTGAGGAGGGACAGGGTCAAAAGAAAGAATAGAATAAATGGGGGTATAGGATAGGATTAAGGGAAATAGAGTTAGTTTTTCACAACATGTCTACTATGGAAGTGTTTTGCATAACTGCACATGTATGGCCTGTATTGACTTGCTTGCCCTTTCAGTGAGGGTGGGTGGGATGGGAGGAAGGGAGACAATTTGGAACCCAAAGTTTTGAAAACACATGTTTTAAAAAAAAGTTTCCACATGCAACTGGGAAATAAGAAATACAGGAAATGAGATACAGAAATCTATCCTGCCCTACAGGAAAATAGAAGGGGAAGAGGATAAGAGAAGGGGTGGAGAGATAGAAGGGAGGGCAGACTAGGGGAAGGGGTATTCAGAATGCATGCCATCTTGGGGTGGGGGAAGGGGCAAGATGGGGTGAAAATTTGGAATTCAAAATCTTGTGGAAGTAAATGTTGAAAACTAAAAATAAATAAATTTATATTAAAAAAAATAAAACTTGAAGGGACTTCAGAGATCATTGAGGCAAGCAGTTCTCAAACTTTTTGTTCTCTTACAGTCTTAAAAATAGTTGAGGACCCCAAAGAGCTTTTGTTAGGTAGACTGTATCAATTGATATTTACCATAATCAAAATGAAAACATCTTAGTATTATTATGAAAGTAGTTCTGACCTTGCAGATCTTCTGAAATGATCTTGAGGACTCCCAGTGGTCCCCAGACCATGCTTTGAAAACCCCTGATCTACTCCAAATCTCTCATTTTACAGATAAAGAAACTGAGACCTGGAAGGGTTAAGTGATTTGCTCAAGGTCATACATAAAGTAAGGGACAAAATCAGGACTTGAACCTAGGTCCTCAGACTCTAAACCCAACTATTCTTTCACCTGTCGTGTTACCTAGAGAGGAGTGAAGATGAGAAAAGATTTAGAGATGGAATTTTAGAAATTTAGAGATGGAAGGGACCTCAGAGATCAGCCAGTCCAAGCCAGTGGCACAGAGTGGTTAAGTGACTTGTCTGTGGTCACACAGCTAGTAAGTGCAAGTTATGGAGAGGAGATCCAAGTCTCCAGATTAGCAGGTTCAGTGCTCTTTCAGCTATGCCAGACAGTAGCTCAAAGGGTTACAAAGCACTTTATGGACAATACCGCATTTGAGTCACACAACCATATTCTAGGTAGGGAGTGTACATATTACTATCCTCATTCTACAAATAAGAATACTGAGGCTCACACAGGTTACATGGCCAAGGTCACATGACTAGCAAGTGTCAGAACAAAGACTAGCATCCAGGTCCCTGAAGTCACCTAGCACAATGTCCTTTCCACCTTTTGGAGCTGAACTGAACCTTGCTCTGGTCGCTGAGTCTTCTTTCTTTTGATTTGGCCATCTCCGACTCTAACAATACTCCTTCTCTTCCTCTATCCCCTATACATCTCATTGCACCTTTTGTAATTTGTGATGGGACTGTCTGTTTCCCAGACTGCTGCCTGCCTACCACTACCTGCCATGCCGTTAGCTTCTGGAGGCTGTCCCTGCCACACACATCTCCTCCTTCGTAGACAGCTACCTTGAGGACCAGAGGAAGAGGGAGCCTGGATGCTAGCCCTAACACTGCCCTCGCTAGCTGGGTCTCTTCGAGTTTTGTGGCCTGGATGTTATGTGTCACACTAGAGAAGAGAAGGCCCTCAGCACCCAGGTGCCTTACTCCAAGGCTATTATGGACTGCAGCAACTGTCTACCATGTGTGAAAATGTAATTCTGTTTGGAAAACACCTTGAGACTCTTCTAAGAAGGCAATGCCCTGGCCACAGCTCCAGAAAACTTATATTTTAAAAAAAGATATTTTATTTTTTTCCTAATTGCATGTAAAAACAATTTTTAACATCTGTTTTTTAAAATTTTGAGTTCTAAAATTCTACACTCACATTTTTCCACCTTGGTCAAGGCAGCTGTGTCATCATTCAGTCTGTTCACACATCTCCTATCCTAGTTAAAGATCTCATTGCCTCTCACATGGACTACTGTGATGGCCTCCTAACAGGTCTTCTTGCCTCTGGTCCAGAGGTGGGGAACCTATGGCCTCCAAACTTCAAGTCTGGATTCAGTCAAAGGGCCACACTTGAGGACCTAGAGGGCCATAGGTTCCCTATCCCTGCTCTAGTCTCTCCTCTCTGCCCTCACGTGCAATCATATGACTGATATCTATCTTCCTCATTGTCCATTTTTCTTCTTAAAAATTGTATTAAAATTTGTCTTGATGGACCATGAATCAATAATTTTTGTTGATAAAACATTTAGTTTTTATATCACTTCTACCCAGCTGCCAGTGGCACAGTGGATAGGGTGCTGGACTTTGAGTCAGGAAGACCTGAGTTCAAATCAGGCCTCTGATGATTACTATCTGTGTGACCCTGGGCAAGTCACTTAACCCTGTTTGCCTCAGTTTCCTCATCTTTAAAATGAGCTGGAGAAGGAAATGGCAAACCACTCCAGTATCTTTGCCAAGAAAACCCCGAATAGGGTCACTGAGAGTCAATTAACAATTGAAGAAACAATTAAAATGACCAAATAACAACAATCCAGCTGCCAAATTAACATTGCTAAGACACCAATCCATCCCCTGACATTGCTGTTCTCTGTGACCTTAGGATAAAATACAAACTCCTTAAAGTGGCATGTTGAGCTTTGCCATATCCTGGCTCCCATGTCCTACCTGGTTCACATCACTTCCCTTCCCATACTCTGTGATCAGGCCAAAGCACCCTTCCAACTGTTCTTCAAAGTCCATGCGCCATCTCCCATCTGCATGTCTTCCCCTGGGCTTTCCATCATGTCTGGAATGTGCTCCTTTCTCACCTCTAGCTTCCCTCAAGTTTAGGCTCAGGTACTCTTCTTCTGTGAAGCCCCCCACCCTCTCACCTTCATTAATGCTCACTCCCTCCTCAGATTATCTTGTATTTATTTTGTCCTTGTTGTTCAGTGGTTTTCAGTCATGTCCAACTCTTTGTGACCCCATTTGGGGTTTTCTTGGCAAAGATACTGGAGTGGTTTGCCATTTCCTTCTCCAGCTCATTTTACAGATGAGGAAACTGAGGCAAACAGAGTTAAGTGACTTGCCCAGGGTCACACAGCTAGGGAGTGTCTGAGGAAAGATTTGGACTTCCTGACTCCACTCACAGTGCTCATACACGAGTGTTTATTGTATATTCTGGTAAAACATAAGCTCCTTGAGAGCAGGGATTGTCTCACTTTTGCATTTGTATCCCCAGGGCCTCCCACAGTGCCTTGCACATACGAGGTACTTTGCAAATATTTGTTGAATTGAATCGTGCCTATTTTCTATAGCTACAAGAGAAAGAAACCAACCAGCAGATCACAAAACAGAAAACATCACTGCGAATTAAACCCATATTTCTTTGAACTAAAGCCCTTGCATACAATCATATGACTGCCATCTGTCCCCAAGCAACATTTTTTAAAAATTGTATTTAAATTTTTTCTTGATAAAACTTGAATCTATAATTTTTAAAAAAATTTTTTATTTTTGGTAAGGCAATTGGGGTTAAGTGACTTGCCCAGGGTCACATAGCTAGTAAGTATCCAGTATCAGAGGCTGGATTTGAACTCAGGTCCTCCTGATTTCAAGGCAGAGCTCCATCCACTATGCCACCTAGCTGCCCCCTGAATCAATAATTTTTACTGATAAAACATTTAGTTTTTATACTACCTTCTTTTCCAAATGTCTCCTCATTCCTGTCCCAAAGAGCTGTCCCTTGTAACAAAGAATAAAAAAAAGAGAAAGAAATCAATTTCATAAAACTAACCAAGACATTAACCAAGTCTGATAGTAGATGCAATGTTCCACATCCATATCCCCCGCCTCTGCAGAAAAGGGAAGGCGGTAGCACCCAATTTCAATGGGATGTGTTTAAAAGGACAGCAATCATTGTCATCTGAAAACCAACTATACCATTTTGACTGGGTTAATCGATGCCTTGGGTCTTGAATTTGGCAAAAATAAACAAACAAATTGTTTTCCATATTTCTGTCTGTTTTTCTATTTATCTATCATCTATCTATCTGTCAACTCTTTCAAAAGTTCCCAGGTAGCTGACAGGCAAACAAGTGGGAAATGAGGACCAGACCATTTGAAACATGGCCCTTGCTTCATGTGGTCGGTGAAGCGTGGATGCCCTCCTAAGCTAAAGGGACAAAGATGAAATGCTTCCTCATGAAAAAGCCTGGCCAGGCTGCCTTGGGCCTCTTACCTCCTGATCCCCAGTGTCAAGCACCTTCACGTCTTGCCCCATGTTGCCCAGCTGCTCCGTCAGGGTGACAATCTGCTCTCCCAGCTCCCCCAGGGCGCTGGTGTGTTCATCACTGCCAAAGTGGCCGAAGTAAGACATGAGCTTCTTTGCTGTTTTGTCATCACATCTGCATGGAGAAAGAAACCCAAACAGTGATGGGACCCTCCCTCTGGGTCCTGCCCTGGGCCCCCAGCTTAGGTCCCTGTCTTTGTTTTGAGGGACTTAACAAGGGCTTCTCTTGAAGTCACTGTCTCCCATCTCTCTCCTTGTTTCCCCTACCCCACTTAATCCTGGCTTAAGTGTAAGGCAGTGTGGGTGGGGGATTAAATGTTGGACCTCCAGGAAGCTACAGAGTCCTTTCTGCCTCATCTATGATTCTATGAATCCTCCTTCTTCCCCTATCTAGAAAGAAGAAGAAGAAGAGGAGGAGGAGGAGGAGGAAGAAGAAGAAGAAGAAGAAAGAAGAAAGAAGAAAAAGAAGAAAAAAAAAGGAAAAGAAGAAAAAAGAAAAGAAGAAAAGGAAGAAAGAAGAAAAAGAAGAAGAGGAGGAAGAGGAGGAGGAAGAAGAAGAAGAAGAAGAAGAAGAAGAAAGAAGAAAGAAGAAAAAGAAGAAAGAAAAAAAGGAAAAGAAGAAAATAAGAAAGAAGAAGAAAAGGAAGAAAGAAGAAGAAAAAGAAGAAGAGGAGGAGGAGGAAGAAGAAGAAGAAGAAAGAAGAAGAAAAAGAAAAAAGAAGAAAAAGAAGGAAAAGAAGAAAGAAGAAAAAGAAAAAAGAAGAAAAAGAAGAAAGAAGAATAAAAAGAAGAAGAGGAGGAGGAGGAAGAAGAAGAAAGAAGAAGAAAAAGAAGAAAGAAGAAAGAAGAAAAGAAGAAAGAAGAAAAAGAAGAAAAAGAAAAAGAAGAAAAAGAAAAAGAAGAAAGAAGAAAAAGAAGAAAAAGAAAAAGAAGAAAGAAGAAAATGAGGAAAAAGAAGGAGGAGAACAACAATAAACAACAACAACAATGCAGTTTACCAGAATTAAGCAATCCATCCAATGCCCTATTCCATACCCGTGGTCCCTCACCTTTGCAAAGAAGGAATGGAGGTCCTGCTAAGCTCTGCTAGATAGTTTCGTGAGATGCTGTGGTCCAAAAACTGCAGCACTGTAGTCTTTAAGGGGAGCCACAGACTTGGAGTCAGGAAGACCTGGGTTAGAATCTTGCCACTCACACTTACTTGCTGTGTGCCTTAGGTAAGTCCCTTAGCTCCACGGTCCCCCATGTTCCTTATCGGGATAATGGGGATAATTGCCTCTACATCACAGGGTTGTTGTGAAGATCAAATGAGATAATATATGGAAAGTACTTTTAAAACCTTAAAGAGCAACATAAATGTTAGTTGTTACATGCATAATAATCAATATCATTATTGATCATCATATTGAATAAAATGAATTATATTTATTATGTGAATAATAATAACTAACATTTATGTAGCACTTTAAAGTTTGTAGAGTGCCTTTTATATATCACATTATTCATTTGGTTCTCACAACATCTTGGCAATATAAGAAGAACAGGTGTTAACTATCTCTATTTTGCAAATAAAGAAATTGAGGCTCAGACTTACCCAGGGTGGTACAAGCTAGTAAGTAGCAGGTCTGTGACATGAGCCTGGGTTTTCTGACTCCCAGTCTGGGGCTCTTCCCAGTATATTATGCTGAAGGATAGTGTAGACACCCAAAGACATGAGGATGGATGAGACAAATGTTTGTAAAAGGCTTTTTGATCCTTCAGGAAAACTGCCACGTGATCACAGTCTGAAAGCGTTCCAGTGAGTATGTCGGCAGATCTTTCAACACGGCAGTTCATGTGATAGTCTGGCTTTCATAACCTTTTCCACTCTGCACCTGGCTTCTGCTTGTAGCCTCGGACATGGGCATGGTCCATTCCTGCACAGGCAGCGTTCGGACAAGCCAGTGCACCAGGGTGCTCGGCTCCACTATCCCTACCAGTCAGGGCAAGATAAAGTACAGGCTTACTCTAACTGGCTTGGTCTCCAGGAGTGGCAGTAGTCTTGAGCACTACTGAGAAGTAGGTAACCCTGGATGTCTATCTTGGCCCTTTCCCTTTCTGTCTCTGCCTCCTGCCTCCTGCCTCCTGCCTCCCAACACTAGGAAGCTCAAAATTCTCAGGCTGTCCTCTGGCTTTCCTTAACCCCCAGTGTACTCTTACACAGATCTGCCTCCCACCTGCTCACGATGCCTTTGTCCCAGCCTCCTTACCGCCTCCAAAACTCCCATCCTTTAGAACAGGCTAGAAAAAGAAAAGGATAAGAGCTCAACTCTTATACTGTACTAAAAATGTGCCTGCTGTGGACCCTGTTCTTGTGGCTTCCCCTATTTCATTCATTCATTCATTCAATCAATCAAGCAAACACCTACTCTGTTCAGAGAGCATTGAGCAAAGAGGAGATAGTAAATTTAGGTGAGACACCGTCATTGCCTTAACTACTATTTGTTTCTGTGAACAATCTTGGGACTCAGTAGGGAAAGTGTTCATCTTATCCTGGGGCTCTGTATCCTCAGAGACTCCCTGAGAGGAATGGAGCACAATCTCTAATCATGGGCTCCCCATATCATTATGACCACCAACTTCTGTGAAGAACTGAGGTCCCTTCCAACTCAACTCAACAATGGATACTAATTTAAGTACCTCCTATATACAAGGCAGTCAGGATCATAAGATTATAGGATCATAGATGTAGAGTTAGAAGGACCCCAGAGGCTGTCTAGTCCCACCCTACTCATTTTACAGATGAGGAAACTGAGGCCCAGGGAGGTTAGATGATTCACTGAAGGTCATAAGTAGTAACAGAACTGGGATTTAAACCCAGACTCTGGGAAGCTAGGTAGCCCAATAGATAGAGTGACAGACCTGGAGTTAGGAAGACCTGAGTTCAAATCCAGCCTCAGACTCTTTAAAGCTGTGTGACCCTGGGCAAGTCACTTAACCCTACTTGCCTCACTTTCCTCATCTGTAAAATGAGTATGTAAATGAATGTAAAATGAAAACAACCAAACCACTCCAGTATCTTTCCCTAAGTGGGGTCATGAAGAGTTGGACACAGCCGAACAACAACAGCCTTTAGACTCTAGAATCAAAACTCTTTGCTACTTCACCATGGATATAGAGATGAAACAACAGACCACCCCTGTGCACAATGAGCTTATTATTCTATGGAGGTCAGGAGTGGGTTGGGGCAGAGATGACATTCTTCGATTCCACGATTCTAAGTGAGACATACCCGCTCCCACAGCTCGAAATACGGGCCAGTAGCCTTTTCACTTCGGCCACCTGAGTCTGCTGCTCCCCCGGCCACTTTTCCTCCTCTTCATCGGAGGCTGCCTGACCCTCCACGGAGCGGAACAGCTGCTCACCTCCTGCAGGGAGAAAGAACGCAGGGCTGGATGCTCAAAGCCCAGGTCACTCACTGTGAACGCCATACAGCTCTGCAGCCCTTCCTGGGGAAGGAAAGACAAGCTAGGGATACTGCTCTATTTGCTGGCTATGAGGAACCATCTCTTGCAGAAAATAGCAAGGCTGAGGACAAGTAATTTGCAGATGGATAGATCTGTTGAGCTCAGGAACATGACCTAAAACTTTCTTCTAGGTTGCTTAAGGATTATTGGCCATAGGAAACAGGTGATTTACACCTCTCCATTAAAGTGGTTTAGATGACATCACTCAGGAAATGTATGATCAGTAAAGGACCTGGGATTGTTGATCATTAATCAATAGGGTGGGAGAGCAGTTGGGTGATGCCCTGGCACAGAATGTTCAGAGTCCAAGAGGGGGACCTTCAGAGCATGGGATGGGTCCTTGGCAGAAAGTTAACGAGAGGACAAAGATGAGAATTGCACAGGTGAGGGCTGTGATCTGTACAACTGAAGGGTGTACCTATATTGGGGAGAGCAAAGATTCATTAAAGTCTTGAAGAACTAAAAGCAGAAGTATCACTAAGGGTGATTCAGGCTCTAGGACCATCTCCTAGACAAGTACTAATTTATTCCTGGGGACATAAATTCCAGGGATATCCCCCGTAAGATGTGACTTTTTATTCTCTAGTTCTCATTATTTTACAACTCCTTTAGTATTTTCTTGTGATTAGATTTTGGCGGTCTGCTATGGGCAGTACTCTGGCAGAATGTGGTGTGTGGTGATACCCAGACTATGGGCTTTCTTTTGGATGGGAAAGTGGCACTTCTGTGGGCATAGTATTGAGGCTGCTACAGGGAGCACAGAAGTGTGCTGACTCAACGCACACTCTTGACTGGTGCTCTGTTATGACCAGCTGTCACAATTCACTCCCTGCTGAATGTGTCTGAGTGGCTATGAGATCTCCCACCAAGGTCCAATGGGGATATCATTTATAAGGAAGCATCAACTTTGCTCCTGGCAGGAAAGCAGAACAAAAATTACTTACTAGAGAAGGATGGCAGCCTTACCAATCCCCTTTCAGTCTTGTTAAGTGAAGCTTCTAGGGTGATTTGTATAGACTAGGGAATATGATAAGAGTAGAATAGGATTCACTCACGCTAAGTCAAATAACACACTGGGCTCCATTAAAAAGCTAGACAAAGCTTGAGGGCTTCCCTGGTTGGCTCGTTCTGAGCGTGAAACAGCTGAGCTAGACCTAGTAATTGTAATTTGGGGGGACATCCAGCAGGTGGCAACAGTGGAGACCCAGCAGAAGGTCCACTCTAGAAACTGGCAGATGGTGAGGCAGTAGAGAAAAAAGATGATGAGAGAATTGTAGCTGTTTGTAGCAACAAAGAAAACAGCTCACAGTCTAATGATATATGTATCCTCGGACCAACAGATGGCATTAGAGGCTCTTTAGGGAATCAAGCAGCAGAGAGGGGTTCCAGTGGGGATATAGACCTAGCATCATGTGTTACCCCAGCTGCATGTATGAACTATCGACATGTGTTCTTTATGCATGTGTTTTCCTTCTCCTACTATGGAGAAAGGAATCTGGGGGACAGTGTAGCCATGTGTTTAGGAGAAAGGCTGTAATTCCCCTCATCATTTATGTTACTATGCTCCTTAACTAAGTGGTTTTGCTTGGAATTAGTGCATCTTCTGCCTGGCTGGGCTGGTAAAAGAAACATCAGTGGAGGACTTGTGAGGTGCGGTTCTTCGTGGGTCCTAACTCAAAGCTGGGGTAGTTTTTAGACAGCCTGTCAACGAAAGGGGGCTTTGGCCATAGTCAATAACTATAGCTCTGTTATTAAAGTTTAATTGCTGATAGATAAACAAGTACTTCCTGTCTTGACTCTTCAGGAAAGAAAGACAAAGCTGACCAGGTTCCCAGATACTGGTGGCTCAAAGGAGACAAAGGTATAACAATGCTTCAACACTTGGATGGAACTGTGATTTCAGTGTGGTGAGTACACCCACCTACAGTGAAGATTACATCCCATCCATGCCTTCTCTTCTTTCACAAATCTTATCCACGTCATCCCATCAATCCCCCAAAGGTGGAGGGGAGGTCCACTCATCATGCTGGGAAACTTTCAGTCTCTTAACATTGCTTGGCCATTAGTGTCACAGATAGGCCATTTATCTGCTGTTCCTCCTCAAAAATCTTACCTTGATGCCTAGAGGTGACCTCAGGTTGTTGGAGGTTATGCCAGTAGAACATAAGCTCTGGGAGATTTTGGGAAGATTCCAAGTGTGATCCTTGGTGATAGGCTGCATCTGTTATCTGAGAACTGGCCTAGTTAAGCATGGAGAGGCTTAGCACTGGTAGACTGTCCATTTGTAATGACATCTTGGACCAAGGCAACTCATAATAGGGATAAGGGCATATACTTATAATTTCTTTGGTGTAAAGATGAGGAAACTCCCTCCCTCAATGCAGATCTTATAGCCTTAGAGAGTCGCCTAGAATACTAAGAATTTAAGTTAATGACTTATTCAGGGTCACAGCATGGTTTAGAGGCAGGATTTGAACCTAGTTCTTACTGGCTCCAAGGTCAGTTCTCGACACACTATATCATGGGACAGCTAGGTGGCTCAGTGTATAAAGCACTGGTCCTGGAGTCCAGGAAGACCTAAGTTCAAATGTGACCTCAGATTCTTACTATCTAGGTGATCCTGGGCAAGTCACTTAACTCTGATTGCCTCCCCTCCCTGCATAATACACTATATCATGTTGCCTTTCCCAGGAATAATAATAATAATAATAATAATAATACTCAACAGCACTGATACTAATATTCACTCACATTTCAATAACCCTTCATGTTTGACAGAGCTTTTTCCATTTTACATATGAGGAAACTAAAGAGGTCAAGTGGTTGTGTCCAGGATCACATAGGTAGTAAGGGTCAGAGCAGGGATTCAGACTCAGGTTCGCTCCAAATTCAAGCATTCTTTCCACTGTGGGTAGGAGGCAGAGGACAACCAGAGGAAGAAGGAGAGGTCAGAATCTGGAGACCAGAAGAAAAGTACTCCATGGCAGGTCAGTGGAGCTCATCAGGGTTGCTTGGCCCTCACTGAGAGCAGAACACAGAGAAATTAGAAGGAAAATTGAGACTTTTTTGGAGGAAATCTGAGAAGGACCTGGGATGGGAACAGGATGGACTTGTTGGAGAGATGTGTGCCAGAGGAATGCAAGTGCTGAACTTGAAGTTAGGAAGATCTATATTCTTCTATGTTTGGACATCCTCAGACACTTACTAGTTGCGTGACTCTGGGCAAGTCATTTAACCACTCTGAGCCTAGACTCAATGGGCTTTAAGGTACTTTCCAACTCCAGATCTAAGATCCTAAATCCTACAATAAGTAAAATGTATTCTACGAGCCAGACTTTGTTTCTGCCTTTTATTTCCACGTCATAGAATCATAAATCTCAAGAGTGGAGATGGATCTTAGAGATCCTCTAGAAAGATCTTTCACATAGGTGTCAGAATCCCTACTAAGTCATCTTTGTTAGGTTTCACTCTCTGATTACCTCTAGAAGCAGAAAAACTCACTACATCCCATTGTTAGAAGGTTTTCCCATATCCTGGACTGAAATCACCTCCCTGGAACTTCCTCACCTTGGCCTTTATTTCTGCTTTATGGGGCTTTGGAGAACAACTGTGCTCTCTTTTCCTCGTAAAATTACTGTCCCGTATTGAATTTATGCCCTTTTAATATCCTTTTTTTTGGTCTTTTCTCCAGAGACCTAGTCTGCAAGTGACCTGTGAAAGACACATGCTAAGGAAAGGATTGACAGTTGGAGGAAAGGCTAGTGGTATGCTGGAGGCAGCTCCAACCAGCTCACCAGAGCCAATGGTTAAATGTACAGGGTGATCATCATACCTCAGAAATTGGCAAATGCCACAAATTAGGGCTTGATTTATTGTTTTGCTGATTGTCTAGACTTATGAAATTGATGGAGAAAATGCTAATAATGTAAATTAAACTTAAAAGTGCATCCTGTGTGCATTCTCCCTCCCTACCAGAGCTGGTTGTTAAACATTTACCAGCACACCACTCTTCCTGAGGTTGTAGCTCTGGGGAGACAAGTCTGTAGATGGTGGCTTTGAAGGCAGGGAACTTCGTAGGATACGAAGCATACATCTTTGTGAGATGGCCGGTCAGGCTTGGCTGTTGCCACTGTCTAGAGCAAAGTTACCCTCATCAACACTGAACCCATCACCTTGTCCTTCTTAGCCTCTCGCTCTAAGCTACTGATCTCAAAGCCATAACCCCCACGCATCTAACCTTCGTCAGCATATCTGCAGCTCATACCATCTTCTGCAGCCGCTGCCCCTTCAGGGGGAGAGATTCCGTCCGGCTGCCCAGGACAGGAAGCTCTTCCAGTTTCTGACTCACCATCTTCTCGTGGCATTTTCTGGTCATTCAGCGGGCTTGGTAGTTTCCTGATCTCTGACCTGCAAAGCAAAGATACAGTGAGAGGAAGAAATAGATTTTGCCAGACTCAGGCAGGGGGAGCTCAGGTTTCACATCGTATCTGCAGCGAAATGAAAATTGTTAAAGAAAAGTGGGCAAAACTGATATTCTGCCGTCTCTCCTTTCCCAGCCCCCTCATGGGACGCCATTCACTGGGCTTTGGATGGCCTCACAGCCGGGGGTTGCTTTGGTTAGTTATTGCTACTTCTTGTGCCAGGGCTGTGTAATCTGGCAGCATTGTCTAGCTCTAAACACTCTTATTTTCATGAATATGGGAACATGCAATCAAGCCAGAGGTTTTATTCAACACATTGTGACTGCCTGAGTTTCTTTGGGGATTAGCTGATTTGTAAGTACAAAATGAGGAGGCTGCAATGGTTTGAGCTGTGAATTTCCTCTTAGCTCTTAACATTCTATGTTCTTTCTTCTAGCTCTGACTTTTTATGGTTTAGAGCCTCTTCCAGCTCTAACATCCACAATTACAAGCTTTTACATCCATCTTTTCCTTTATATGCCCAATGTCTAGTTCAGAATCCCATAACCTATCGCCCAGATTATTGAAATTGTCATTTTAAAAAGTATTTTTATTATATTTTGTTTTAATATCACTTACATTTCACATTGTATCACCTCTACTACCTGCCCATCTGAGAGTCATGCTTATTTTTTAAAAAATCTGTAAAACTAATCAATATATTTAAAAAAAAATCTGGTGACGTAGTCATTGTTCTATACCCAAGGTAGAGAGAACAACAACGAATCAGGGAAGAGGTGTCTTCTCATATCTCTCCTTTGGGGAGAAGCTTGGTCATTATAATCTTGTGGCTTTCATTTTATTTTATTTTTTTTGCTTTTTGGTGAGGCAATTGGGGTTAAGTGACTGGCCCAGGGTCACACAGCTAGTAAGTGTCAAGTGTTTGGTCTAAGGCCGGATTTGAACTCAGGTCCTCCTGACTTCAGGGCCGGCGCTCTATCCACTGCACCATCTCGCTGCCCCTCTCAAATACTTTCAAATTGCTTTCCAGAATGGTTAGACTTACAGCTCCACAAACCCCTCTAACGTTCACTATTCCCATCTTTTGTCATCTTCGCCAGCTTGTTGGGTGTGAGGTGAAATAGCTGATTACCTTGGTTTGCATTTCTCTTATATTATTAGTGATTTGGAGCATCCTTTCATGCGGTTGCTTACAGTTTGAAATACTATCATGTTAGAACAGTTTATTCAAATCATTTACTTGCTTAACTTGTATATCAGAAAGAATACGGGCTCTAATGTTAGAAGTCCTGGGTTCGAATCCCACCTGTCATGCTTGGGTAAGTCAACCTCTTTGGGCCTCAGTCTCCTCATTTGTAAAATGAGGGAGTTGAACTAGATGACTTCTGAGCCTCCTTGAAGCTTACTGGGGAATGGCCTTTGGTCTTGTGTATTTCTATTAGATGTCTACATATCTTAGATATCAGGATTTTGTCAGAGATCAATTTGATGCAAAGCTTTTTCCCCACTTGACTACTCCCCCTTGTTATCCTAGTTGCATAAATTGTATCTATGCAAAAGCTTTCCAGTTTCACATAACCAAAATGGTTTACTTTATCTTTTGTAATTGATTCTATTCTTTGTTTCGTCAAGAATTTACTCCCTACCTATAGTATTTGGTCTGTTTCACTTCTTTTTTAATAGCATGATTGTTAATATTAAAGTCTTGTATCCATTTTGAATTTCTTGCAGAATATGAAATAATACACTTGGCATTTCTTGTTGGAAGAGTTGTGGGAAAACAGGCACTTTACTGCGCTGTTGGGAAGCTGTGAATTGGTCCAGCAGGGGTGGGGAACTTTCGGCCTCAAGACCACATGGGGCCCTCTAGGTCCTCAAGTGTGGCCCTTTGACAGAGTCCAAGTTTTACAGAACAAATCCTCTTAATAAAAGGATTTGTTCTGTTAAACTTGGACTCAGTTAAAAGGCTGCATCCAAGGACCTAGGGATCTCCATGTGACCTCGAGGCTGCATGGTCCAGCCATTCTGGAAAGCTGTTTGGAGCCGTCCCCCCAAAGTCACTAAAATCCACACTCTTTGACTCAGTGATACTACTACATGTACAAAGGCAGCTCTTTTTGTGGTGACAAAGAATTGGAAACTGAGGGCGTGCCTATCAATTGAGGAACGGCTGAACAAATTATGATATATGGAATAACACTGTGTTACAAGAAATGATGAAGGTGATGATTTCAGAGAAACCTGGGAAGACTTGTATGAATTGATACAGAGTAAAGTGAGAAGAACCAGGAGAACAATGTATACAATAACAACAACAGTAAACACAAGCAGCTTTGGAAACTTAAGAACTCTGATCAACAGCCGTGATGCTAAAGGATCTAGCCCATGATGGATGAGACATTCTACCTAACTCCAGGTAGGCAATGGATTCAGTGCAGACTGAGACATGTATTTTTTGCCCATGGCCAATGTAGGAATTTGTTTTGTTTGACTATACATGTTCAGAATATGGGTTTTCTTTCTTTTTTTTTTTTGGGAGGGGGGTAAATAGTGGATCTGGGAGGGAGACAATATTGTTTTTCATTAAATAAAAAACAACCTAAATGACTAATTTCTGCCAAATTGCTCGTCAGTTTTCCCAGAAATTCTTGTCATATGGGAAGTTCTTTTTGTTTAAAGTAGTTTATGCTTTGGGGTTTATCAAGCATTGGTTTATTGAGTTCAATTTTTTTCTGATCTTCCCTTGTGTAATTTGTATCATTGATTTACTCTTCTATTTTTAAAACGGTACCAAATGGTTTTGATGATTGCTACTTTATATATAATTTGAGTCCTGGAAGTTCTATCACTATTAGCCCTTCATAACAACCTTTTTCATGATTTACCTTCAAAATCTAGATCTTTTGGTCCTCCAAATGAATTGTGTTATTATTTTAAAAAATCATCTCCTAATAGTCCTCTCCAACACCAGTAGTTTCTTTCAATAATCCATCCTTTCTATAGCTACCAAAGGACTCTTCCTAAAGCACTGAATATAATTGCATCACTTTCCATGCTCAGAATTCTTCAGTGTGGTTCCTCATTGCTTGCAAATGCAAGCTCCTTAATCCAACATTCAAGACTTGCTCCAACCTGGCTTTCCAGCCTTATTCCATGGCACTTATTCTCTTTCACATACTCTACGTTCAAGACAAAATGTACTATTCATCAGCTTGTCGTTCCCTCTCTTACCACCTTGCCATTGTACATCTTGCCATTCCTCCCCACCACTCACTGACAGCTTTCCCTTTCTTCAAGACCCAGACTGAGTTCCACCATGATGGTATTCCTCCATGGTATGCTCCATGACGTCCTCCCTAATCACCCTGGCTAGGAGTGATGAACCTCTCAGGATAATCTGACTACTTCTGTATGACTTGTGGCAAATCATTTAATCTCTTTGGGCCGAATTTTCCTCATCCATAAATGAGGGGATTGCACTAGATAACATTTAAATTCCCTTTCAGTGCTAAATCTCTGATTCTATCTACTTAATTGCTTTCTAACATTATTCGTGTATGAGCCTTGTCACCCTCCCTCTCTTCTGGGCTCTTCATTGGTATTTCTTTTACTCAGAGTTCAGTTTCCTGTTAGTGATCTCTTCACTTACACTGTTATATATCTGTGTGTATTGTTTTCTTAGTTCTGCTTACTTCACTCTGTTACCAGTTCACACAAATCTTCCCATGTTTCTCAGAATTCCTCATCTTTATCATTTCTTCCTGCATAATAATATTCCGTTATTTCCATATGCCATCAGATTTATATTCCCCCATTCTCCAATCAATGGGTACTTGCTTTGCTTACAATTCTTTGTGACCAAAACATGTTATAAATATTTTGGCATGTATTGAACGTTTATTTTAGTCTTTGGCTTCTATGGGACATATGTCCAGTAGTGGAATTTCTGGAAGAATGTGTACAGTTTCCTCACTTTTCTCACATAATTCCAAATTGAAATCTTTGTAAAATCCTCTCACGATGAATGTTCCTATCTTTGATGTTTTTGCCAATTTACACGATGAGAGTTATCTTCATTTGAATTCCTCATACTGTTAGTGATTGAGAACATGTTTTCATGTGGTTCCTTATAGTGTGTAATTTTTTTTTGAAATTGTGTTTATTCATATCCTTTGACCACTGATCTAATGGTGAATGACTTTTGATTATATATGTATATATGTATATCCACACATATAGTAATTTCTCTCTCTAGACATACATATACACTTGTACACATGCATATATACATATATGTGTATGTATATATATAATATATATATTACACAATACACTATATATATGTGTGTGCACACGTATATATTTTCATACACATACACACATATTTGTATCAATTCTTGGGAAGTATTTCTTTAGGTGGTTCTGCTTAAATAAATCCTGCTAAAGGGAATTGCTGAGAATTATTCCAAATCCTTCCCATAGTTTGCTGGGGCTGCTGAAGTCTTAGAAACCAAACTCCACACATGTCTTTGTTAGGCAGCAAAGCAAAGCTGGCTGCCAAGAGGGACTGTTAACTATCCTGGAGAGCTTTTGTCTGACCCAACCCAGCTGCCATCCATTTCTAAAGCCACCAGGCCAAGGGCAGGGTTGTTCTAACAGGCCCAGCAGTGCTGGCAAACAATAGCCCAGAAGAAAACCATTATTCTCCCGTGCCTTTTTGCAAAGCTGTGGGGGTGGAAAACATACTTTGGATTTTTCTGAGAATTAATAATGTGGCTGCAAAGAAATTCAATGAGAGATTTCCCCAATGAGATGCGGTGATTCCTGATCTGGCCATAATAGCATTATCTTTAAAGGTCAAGGGAAAGTGGGCCAGGAGAATGAAGGCTCCCAGCCCACCATTGGTCTGTCATTCACCTTTGCAGAAGAGTGAGCTTCAGACGGTCCCTCTGAAAAGGACTATCAAGGGTCTGATCACTTGTGGAT